AACTATGAATCATGGCCATAGTCATAGTCATAGCCATCAACCTAACCTCACTGAACTATGAATCATGGTCATAGCCATAGTCATGGTCATCAACCTAACCTCACTGAACTATGAATCATGGCCATAGTCATAGTCATAGCCATCAACCTAACCTCACTGAACTATGAATCATGGCTATAGCCATAGTCATAGTCATCAACCTAACCTCATCATTATTTGAAATTCTTTCGTCTGTTGTAATCTAAATAATAGTGGGTCGACACAACAACAACAATATCTATGCCAATGTTGTTGTTTTGAATATATTTTGAATAAATGCCAACAATATTCTTCTTATAATCAAGTATAGACAAATTTTTTATTGAGAACATAATCCCAGATTCACATAATGATTGGAAAATTGCTAACAACAATGCTTGAAATTCAACACTAAATCTGTCAATTCAATTCAATCAATCAAATTCAATCANATGGCCATAGTCATAGTCATCAACCTAACCTCACTGAACTATGAATCATGGCTATAGCCATAGTCATAGTCATCAACCTAACCTCACTGAACTATGAATCATGGCTATAGCCATAGTCATAGTCATCAACCTAACCTCACTGAACTATGAATCATGGCTATAGCCATAGTCATAGTCATCAACCTAACCTCACTGAACTATGAATCATGGCTATAGCCATAGTCATAGTCATCAACCTAACCTAACACAACTATAGTTTAAGATTCATATATGAATCTGAAATTTTTTATTTTAATAATTATGTCCATTATCTTCATTATGGAGATAAAGATTACGGAAAGTAATCAACATAGATACCTATTATATAGAAATGAAATGTAATCAATCTCGCGGATACCAACTCCTAAATCTAATCCCAAACAAAAAAAAACCAAACATATCACACAAATATTTTTGTTGATTTTTGATTGACAGATTTTTTTTTTGTTTACGTACAACGCTGAAAACAAAAACAAACAGGTGTCATATAGGAAAAAATATCGATAAAATTACCAAAATGATGATCATCCCAACAGCAAAAATCGTGCAATTTCATATTTAATGTTTTTCTTTCTCTCTCATTATTTGCAATATTCAAATGCATTTCTTTCAATCAACATATATCGTTGTTGTTGTTGGTTGGTTTAGGTTTGAAATACAATTGCATAGACACTAATCATCATTATCATAGCATCGATAAAAAAATTATTATTATTATCATTATCACACACACAACTGTCAATCACCAAAAAACATCTAAAAAAAGTTATCTAAAAAATTTTTGATGGTGGTGGTGGCCATGTATTATTTACGCTACCAGTGTTGTTTGTTTATAAATGTTTGTAGGATCATTTTATTTTGTTGATCATCAAACTTTTTGATCAAAATTCCATAGACCCATCGACATAATGATGATCATACCAAAATGCTGTTTTTGTTGCTCAAAACGAAAGTATTGTCATCGTTGCCATAAAAATTACAATAATGATGATGATAATGATGATTGTTCCATTGAAAATCATCGTATTGAAAAATGGTTAAAACAAGAAAAATATCGTCTTAAACGACAGATACGAATATTGCTGTTAGGCACAGGTGAATCGGGTAAAAGTACCATACTGAAACAAATGAAAATAATACATGGAGAAAATTTGAGCGATGGACAACAACTTGAAGATGTCAGACATATCATCTATTTCAATATTATTAAAGGTATCAAAGTGTTGATCGATGCACGTGCTAAATTGTCAATACCATGGTCCAAGGACGACGATAATATACAGGCAAAAGCTGATCTAGTATTTCGTGCTGAAACGAAAAATCAAATAACATTTGAATATTTTTCACGTTATACAACATTGATCGATTTGTTGTGGAATAACCCGGCCATTCAGGAAACATTTCAAAAACGTAATCAATATCAATTGGTAATGTTGATTTGAAAATCTATCAATTTTTTTCTAAAAATATTTCTTTCACACAGAGCGATGGTCTGCCATATTTATTTCGTAACCTGAAACGTATATCATCATTGACCTATGTACCAACCAATCAAGATCTGCTGCATGCACGTATACCAACACGTACTGTTGTAGAATATTCGGTTGAATATAAAGGTGTTGAATTTCACTTTATCGATATTGGTGGTCAACGACGACAACGCAAAAAATGGTTACAATGTTTTGATTCAATGCTGACGTCAATCTTGTTTATTGTATCATCAATCGAATACGATCAATATCTGGTTGAAGATGCTGATGTGAATCGACTGGATGAAACATTGACCATATTTGAATTGATTATTGATTCTGATTATTTTCATCATACATCAATCATATTATTTCTCAATAAAACTGATCTTTTAGCCGAAAAACTTAAACAAATCAAAAAATTACAACAACGTTCTATCACAACAACGAATACTGATAATTATCGTCCAAAATTGATAAATGAATTATTTCCCGAATTCGATGATGATCACAATGGTCAAGATCCAACCAATGTTCAACATGTTCAACAATTTTTACTAAAACTATTTCAACAAAGACAACCATCATATCGACCATTGTATTCACATTTTACAACTGCTGTTGACACTGAAAATATTAAACGTGTTTTTAATGATGTACGTGAAACTGTATTGTTAGCAAATATCAAAGCAATTATCAATCTCCAATAATAAATTTTAAATCACTAATGAGCTAATCTCACTACTTCTACTAATTTAATTTTCATTTTTGTTCAATCTTGAACTTCATTCCAATCCAAAAATGAAACTTTTTGTATTCCACTGATTTCTTCACCGAATTTTTGTTGATTGGATCGTTTCGAATCATTACTAGTATTACTGCTTTGTTGATGTGATAATCGATTTTTCTTCGATCGTAATGATCGATGGTCTAATCCACGCACATTCAATACAATCGGTTCATTTTGCTTCTTCGCAGCGGCGGCGGTTATTGATTTGGATTGATTTTTGATCTTTTGTTGTCGAAGTTGTTCGAATTTTGCCGGCAATGATTCAATTTGTTCTTCAATTAATTTCCTTTTTCGTTGTTTTTCGTCCATTTTTTCTTCAAACAAGTTTGCTGAAAATGAATACAGACCGAGCATACTTTTGAATTTTTTCATCATGAAATCGATAATTTCGTATTCATTATTTTGTTTCATAACATCTCTTTTGACCGTTTCAAATGCACTGATGATCAAGGTGAGGAAAATATTGACCAATATAATACTTGTACATAGAACAAATATAAAGAATACTATTGGTCCTAACAATGGTGCAGCCATTATCATTGATTCGAAATTAAATTTACCGGTAACCATACCGAATGTTGTTTCAGCTGCGTTCTACGTAATTATAAAAATTATTATTCTAACAAAAGAATCAAAAATCAAGCAATAAACTTACAATAAATGATGAATATTCTTTCATCGTAACACCGAATAAAACATAAAACATTTGCACGAATGCAAAGAATACGGTACAGAATACAATTGAAAATGATTTCAAATCTTTTGAACATTGTGCCAATGTTGCATACAGGATTCCCATACGTTTGTTGAATCGTAACAGTTTGATGAATTTCAATATAGCAACAAAAACAATGAATGCCAAAATATAACCAAACAACTCATCAACAAGGCTAACATATTGCAGTTTAACATAACCATTTCCATGACTTTCATGAAATACCGATAGAATTTGATTAGTGAGAATGATACGATAAAAGTAAAGACCAATAGCCAAATATGACATGACAATGATAAATATTTCGGCCCAATTCCAATAACTTTGAAAATAAGCTGAACCTTGTTGTCGGAATAGTTTCAGTTCGCGCACAGTAAAATATATGATGAAAATCAAATATATTATTTCGCACATTATCACAAACATTCCAGAACCTTGATGATGACGCATCAAGCGAACAACATCGATACGATAAGTGGGAATAATACCACCACCAGGCTGAAATTCGCAAACACAGGTCACAATACCGAAAAGATTTGCCTGTGCATTATAGACGGAAAATTCTGCAATCAATGCCCGAGTCCGTTCATCTACCCAATTCTGCGCCAGCAAATGACGAATTCGTTGTTTCAATTCATCACGTGATCCTTTCAATGGTATTACATAGCCACTGCCGCTATAAATATCCAGTTTTCCAATAAATGAAAATCCATCCAATTCATTTGATGTACGATAATTCCATTCATCTTTTTGACTTTTTGATGGATTCAGCAAACCTGAACGACTGCGAGGTATTGATTCATTCACATAGGATAATTCCTTTGGTCGTTGCCAACCTGGCAGATAACTCATTTGATCTTCATGTATAATATTGGAATATGCACGACAACGATCAATCATTTTACGTAAATATAATTCTGGTTGACATGTATTTGGTTTGATGCGAATTTGCCGAAGGATACCATAACCCATCATACGATTAACACGATCATTCATAAAACCACGTAGGCCAAGTGGTTTATAACCATTATACCATTCCCCGATTAATAAATTCTTTATCAATGTATTATCAATCCAATTCCACATATCATCAGATTGACGAATTTGCAGGAAATTAATCTTATTGAATGAATCTTCAATGATGGTTTTGACTAATGTTTCTTTCATCAGGTATGCTGATGGATCACGATTACCATAACCGATAACGGTTAATATCCAAAGAAAACATATATAAGAGAATATATCTTTCAATATGAATATGATTTTTATCTCTTGTAATCGCTGTGCTTTAATCCTAGATAATATTGTTGCATTCGGTGATCGATACATTTGCGAACGTAGATAACCTGCAGCAGCATGACCGGATTGATTTTGTAATTGATTGGTGGTTTCCAACATTGTTAGATCAATATCATCTTCATCTTCTTCACTATCATCAATATCAATATCAGGTGATTTGAATAATGTTGCCAATATCAATGCTGTTAAAAATACTTTAATTGGTTGGGTAACCAATACCGAAGCAAAAAATGATATTATCAATGATGTTATCCATTTACGGGTTTTTTCATCACCGAATTGAATACCATATGCCCATAGGAAAAATACCGATACAGCAATCGACAAGAAACATAATGCCCAGCCAACATAACGAAAATAAAATGGTAATGTAAATCGTTTGGATTCTTTTCGTATAATTCTTCTTTGCTGCTGATTGTTGTTACTATTGGAAAATTCATCAAAATTAACCTTATCTTTCGATAACTGATTATTGTTACTATCGATTGATGATGTTTTTGTTTTCATTTGTTCGATATAAACTTTTTGCTTTTTCAATGCTTCAGTTATACGTGATGGACGTAATCGACGCAAACGTGCTTTACGAAAGCAGATAATTATGAGGAATGTAACTGGGAAAACAATCAAATTTGACATAAAACCAACACCAATTTGTTCGGGTGACAACGAAAATGGTCCAAATTCAACGGATGATCCACTTGGTTTGGATGGAACACGCTGATACCACATTGCATTGACCAACATTGAAAGATAAAGCAATGCCATACAACAGGAAACACGTTGTACTCGGGTGAAACGACTACGTGGTGGACGCATAAATATCGAGAACCATAAATGTCCATCGGCCAGATTTTTCTGTGTTGTTTGATGGAATAAATGTGTAAATTGGGTGGCTTCCTCTTGACTAGCAACCGGCAACAGTCGATCAATAGAACCATCATCCTTTTCAACGGCCAACCATTTATTACAGATAAACTCAAATTTTTCCCCCGTTTGAATATCTTTAACAACGATAAAACTTAAAAACCAAGATTTAAATTTGCCTTCACCACTATTATCATGCCATATCCGGATGTAATTTAAACGTCCCAGACGTTTTTCAGTGGCTAAAACAAAGGAATTTGTTTCACCACGACAAAATGCTTTACGGAATGGATCGGATAATGTTCGAACACCAGTTTCTTCATCTTCACCGGATAGAATGAATTGAATTTTCGAATCAGTGGCAGCTTCATCTTTATCGCCAGTATAAACGATAATTTCATAAAGATATTTTGCCATTGGATTATTATCAGGTAATGGTGTTGAACCGAGTTTAATCAAATCTTCTTGATCATTTTTTCGAGCCCATGATAATAACATGGCATAGATCATCAATGTGATAACAATGGTCATATAAATAGTAACATTATCAGAAAAACCAGCATTAGCAAATACATAGGAAAAATCAATAGAGTTTGGCATTACGAAAAAACCCGAACCAAATGATGTCAAATGATTACAGCGACAGTGGGTCATGGCATAATTTGCCCATTCAACTTGACAACCTTCTGCTGTCCAAATTTTTCGATGATAATCAAAAAAATAGCATCCCGATGTATAGATTTTCATTGAATAATTGGTACTGTATTGACGTAGAGCACCCGGTAATGTGTAATTAGTGATTGTATAATTTCGTTCCATTTGTTGTTGTTGATCATCGATAACCAAGATTTCATCTAAAATATAGGATTCATTTGAGCGGAGAACTTGTTCACGATCAATTTCAACGACACCAATATAAAAAAATCCAGTTCGATTTTGAATGATATGATTGGAAAGAAATATATTATATGAACCGTCTTCTTTGGATTTTTTAGCCATTTTTATCGGTATTATCAAGTCCCAATAATCAAATAACGGTTTTTCACGATATTTTACGTAGAGTAACAGATCTGATTGAGGATTTGTTGGTCGTATTTCGATATTCATTGCTGAATCAGCTTTTTCCACCAAAACCTGATGATAAACCATTGATTCATAGAATTTCAATTCAGGTACGACATAAGCCAGATCAGTTTCTTCAGTGTCCAATTCTTGTGCCGATTTTCTTGGTACAATAATACTGAATGGTTCGGTGGTATTATGAACATCCAAAATATCTAATTTTTCATTGATGACCAGCAATTGTAATGTTTTTGTATCTTCGGACAGCAAATCCACACTATTACCATATGATTCTAGAATTGATGGCCATGATACGGCTAGTATGCCGAGTGTTTCATTACCAAAACAAGGATGTCCAGCTAGTATATCGCATACATGTGGGAATATATAAGTAGAATCTTCATGTTTAATAACTTTATTCGATATCGATCCTTTCGGATACATAGCTATTGTCAAAACTAAGCCACTTGGTGCAGCAAATTGTACTGGTTCTTCACCGACAACAATATTTTTCAATATGGCCAAAACTAAATTGATTGTCAGTTCAATCATTTGTCGTATTTGCAATTCAGCTACTTGACGTTCAGCACGTATGACTGCTTTATTGAGAGCATCTTCGATCGATGTTTTCGAATCCATTATATAATCAGGTTCATCATCAACATCCGGCACTTCAACACTATAATCAAGATTCCATCCTTTTGATCGATCATTTGGTAGAACAACACCGGAAACAATTTGTTCGGACATTCGATTCACAATACCACCCATTGTACCGACAGCAAATCGACAAAAATCCAATAATTGTTGCGGTGATTCTACCGGTAACGTCGATGCAATGGAAATAGTTTTGTTTAATAGTTGTATAATCATTTCTTTAGCATCATTATCAATGGATTTTCCTTTACCAGCCAATGCTGTCAATGCACTACCAATTTGTTCCAAACTAAACAACGTATCAGCATTCATCATTGTTGTAACTGATTTGATAATCATTGTTTTGGTTTGTGCTTCACGTTCGATTGCATTTTCATCAATATAATCATATGATGCTGTTGTTGTGGTGGTGGTTGTAGTGGTTGTTGTGGTTGTTGTTGAATTTGGATTAGTTTGATGACCAAAATTGATATTCATTAGGGATGATAATGCTTGTGCCATCATATTCATCAGAGATTGATCACCGGATGCATCAGTTTTTTCCAATTGTTTTGAACTCATAAATTTATCATATTCCTCAATAGTGGGCAATGTTGTTGTAATATTGGCCATTTCAATTTTGGTTAGTGCACCTTCTTTATCACGAATATCAACACCGACAGTAAAATTCCCATATGGCAATATTAATTGTACACGTTTATCAGGACCATACATTAGATAGCTAACAACACCATCATTAACATTTCGGGTCCAAAATCCATAATATTCAATGGGGCGATCTTCAGGATCAATCCACATTGAACACCGTGCTACCAGACGATCCAATAATGCACGTGTTTTTGAATATTTCAATTGACATTCACCACCTTCAGGCGGTTGATTGATATGCAGGAATATATCGGATTCGCCTTTTAAATGACGTTCATTGGTGATTGTTAAACGAACAAAAAAATCCTTAAATCTTGGATAATATTCCTGGAAAAATGCTATTCCTAATGCCATTTTTGGTTCATCAACACCGACAACAAATTTATCAGCTTGCGCAAGATGTATTTCGGTATTGTTATCCAAACCATAAACATTCCAACGATATGTTAGATCACCTTCACAACTTTCGGTACAACGACCTTCAAGACCAACACGAACTGGATTAATTTTCTGTCCAATCGGATAGTGTGGATAGCATAATGATTTTGTTTGACATTCAACTTTAACTGATGGTGGTTTTGGTTTCAATATTGTCAGCTGTATTGCACCCCATGATGGATCACGATCTTCCGGTATGATTTGTATGACAATTTCATATGTTTCTTCTGCTTTACGAAATACGGTAGTGTTCCATGTAACTTCATCCGATGTCATATTAATACGACCGGGTCCTTGTCCAAAACAACCACCGCCATCATCATCTCCCCATTCTTCATCCAATGTTGAACGATCGAATATTGGTTCGGAAAAGTTTTGTCGTTCATCGGGCAGAAGATTATTAATCATTTCATCTGGTAATCGGCGACAATACCATTTGATTTCGAAATTTTTATTATCAATATCATCAGGATCGATTGATGACTTGCGTGGTGAAAATTGAATCATTTGTCCCCAACCACGTACGATACGTGATTGTGCCCCTTGTACTAATAATGCCATAATTGGTGATGGCACTATTTGAACATATGTTGATAACGTTGTTGTCATCGGTAATACTGGATGCAGATATGGACATGTCATATTGAGACCAAATTCAAAACGATAATAACCAGGCATCAGATGAAATGCCGGTACATAAAGAAAGCTTTTATCATATGAATCTAAATCAGACAAATCTATTGTCGTTATCGTTTGACCAGTTTCATTATTCAACAGATATGCATTCCAAAAACGTTTTGCTTCAAATGTTGCATTACAATCGATAAATGTTTTTGAATAAAGTTGTATTGGTTTTGAACGCCATACTTGTCCGGCTGATTTCCAATGTGTAATTTGATTTTTGATCTTTATGATGGGCGGTTTACAATCTATTTCAATCACAACCACTTTAAATTTGCGATATTGTCGAGAAATCTGATTAGCCAATGTTACTGAAACAAAATAATCTTTTGGTTTGGTATATTTGCGTTGAACATAGAGTTGATCTTCCAGCGTATCATTATGTATAACACTTGTATATTTGGGAAATTGTTGTTGACAATGATGGTAATCACCGTAGGTATAATAATCTTCTGCTTTTGATCGTTCTCCATAATCAATTAACAGACAGGAATTGGTACCAACATTTTCAATGTTAATAATGAAATATTTTGTTTCCACATCCAAAGTATCATTGCTGATATCGATGACATCTAAACCTTTGACGGGTGAAAATACTTGCATAACTTGGCTATATGGTTCAGATAAATTTTGGATATGATTATAACCATAAACAGTCAGATTATATATTCCTGGTTCTTGAAATGTTATATTCAACAATGGATCGGTCGTTTTTCCATAAAATTGATCATTCATTTTGAGTAGATAATATTCGACATCACCCGAATCGATAGTAATATTAAAATTTATAGTGCAATTTGATGATATTAATTTTATCCATGGATCATTATCCATAAAAACATGGTCACTTGATTGTTGAAGACTTTTTGATGCTTTCATTCGAAGGCCGACAATACGACGCATTACTTCAACTTGAAAACGTTTTTTCAACTTTGAAACAACATTCGATATATCAACATCGATATTATAAAGGCCAGATTTTTCATACAGATGTCGAATTTCATATTCACCATCCCATTTATCATTATCTTCAGGGATACGCCATAAATGCCGCTGTCCATCACCAAATATCATGAAAAATGTTGCATTTGTTGGCATTTTCTTTTCTTCCGGATAAATAACAGTAAAATTTACCAAATCCGGCAATAATACCGGCGAATTTGTTACGATTTTCCATAGTTTTAACACTGGATGTTCGACAATTATTTCATGTGTTGCTGAAGTATTACCTTGAAGATTTGCAGCCATAATATGAATATGATAGATACCCGGTGAATGATAATAATATGAACGAATGAATTTTTGATTTGTTTTGATTACTGATGATTCCAAGGTGGAAAACGAAAACCCAGAGTTAGTATTAGACAAAAATTATTTTACGAAATTTACTCACAGGGAATGTGTTCAGAGGTTTGATTACCATCACCAAAATCCCATTCCAATTGAATATTTGAACCTTTGGATAATTGAACGACGATATCGACTTTTTTCGCCACAGCTGTATTTGGTGGTTTGACTGTTAAACGCATTTTCGATATAATACTTTGGACGCTAACAAAATTCGTTCGAGTTATTAAATCATTTTGATCGAATTCATTGTTGAATTCGAATTTGATCGGATATCTACCACTTTGACTATAAACGTGTGGCATTGTAAATGTCAATGGTTCGCTTACAATCAAACGTATTAGATATTTTCGATCGTCGATACGTTTAAATTTGGTTGAATCGAAAACAGTAGCTTGATCATCGGTCATTTGAAATTTAAAATCTGGCTCCTCATCCGGTCTATATTGACGATATGCAAGCTGTGCATCACGCATACGAAATGCAATCAAATCATCTGATAACAGTTTGAAAGATGAGAATGATTTCAGGTAGAATGGCCCATCAGTAATAGCCAAATCGAATGTCTTAATCAATTGATATTGTTGTGATTTTTTATGGAAATGTTGACAATCACTGTTGCATTTTTTTGATGATGAACAAAGCGCACTTGGTTCAAAGCAAGATAAAACCGTTCCCAAACAATCTTGTTCATCATGGCAAATTTTTCGCAAAATCTGAAACAAAATTATTTGAAAAATGTTTTTTTCGCACAGTTTTTCGACTTACGTGAACCACAAAACGACCAATTTTTGCACCATAACCTTCGATAGCTAAAATAGTTCCATGCAAACCCAATGTATCGGGTGGTATGGAAAAAACAACCAAATCTGATTGTTGTAATTGATCATCCCAGAAAATGTCACTATGATTTTCTTTCGGTATATTCACGCCAATATATTTCATTTGAATATCGGGTAAATTAATCAGGTCGGATTGTTCACCGTCACCATAATTGATTTTCATTTGCATTTGAGTTCCCATTTTAATCAAAACATTGCAATCAACTTTATCATCAGGCTCAACAACTCTTGGACATTCAATTTTTAGATGATCATTACTGATTTTACTTTCTACACGAATTTGACGAATTTGTTTGATACGGATATCTGGTTTGGAAATCAAACGAGCTTCAACACGAACCGTATATGTACCGGAGAGATGATAATAATGTTTCAATGTATTGGCTGGTGTCCAATCAATCAAATCACTGCCATCACCAAAATCAATGCGATATTCTAATGGGCCATTTGCTTCGGATACCAGATCAAAATAGATATCTTCTTCGATCAAAAGAATTTGTTTACGTAAACGAATCGTTAATGATTCAATTCGACCGGTAGGTTCGCCACGATAATAACGCATATAATTATCATTTTGATCACAAAGATCACTGGTTACTTTTGGTATTAAACGAATTTGATCCGATTCATGTTCCGATCCACAAAGACAATATCGGCGACTTATTAGACCGGCATGTGGCAAGGAACTTTCACTACAAATTCGAGCACATTCCGCGCCAGTTAAACCCGTATTTGGGTTATAATAACCATTAGGTGAATAACGGAAATAATCATATGAATGAAAATCCAAACAATCACCATCGGATAATGATGAAAATGATTGTTCGATTGTAATATCGATTGTATCGAATATTATCGCCGCGATAAGCAATAATATTCGAATCGAATGCATTTTTTGTGAATTTCACTGAAATCGCTAAGATTGAAAACAACAAACTAAAACTAAACAAAATTCAGACTTAAAAATGAAGAAATTTTCGAAAGAATCATTTGCCCGAAAAATTCGACCCATTTTATATTCGGAGAAAATTGAAACCTTGAAAACCTGGAGAAACCATGGAGATCCAAGCTTTGGTTCGATTAGTTCGAAAAAGATCAAAAAATGTGCGAAATAAACAAACAAACAAATCCCTGATTACGGTAAGTGATTATTAACATTTGCCTATTTGCGTCAATCATAAATGTTTAAATGTTCAATGTTTAAGAAGCTTACAAACAAAACAAAAATGTTGTCCATTTGATGATAATGTTAATGATATGATAATTAGCTAAAATAATGATAATTATAAAATATTGATCATAGCAATCAGTGTAATCGGTTTGTTTAATGAATAATTTATCAAAAATGAATGATAATAATAAATTATCATTCCAAAAAGAATATTTTTCTGTTTGTTTGTATCCAAACAAGCAATAATTCTTATCAGAAAAATGGCCCAACTAATAATGTCATTAATTTAAATAATTCAAAATTCAGAATCAAATTTCTTCTTCTTGAATCACTTTTTTGTTCCAAATTTTCGTTCCAAAAAATGATCCTTTTGAATCGCTGAATGGCCACAAGATGGTAGTGTGTACATCATTTCTTTAAATGGCAACAATATTGTGAACTTGAAAACATATTGCGTGTTTTGTTGTGTGATGTTAATACGTGCTAAACTCACCAACGTACGCAAACAAGAATAGCTACAATGATCAGGACCATCTACGTTAAACAGTAGTATCTTTGCGGGAAAATTGTTCGACAGCATACGATTATGACTAACACTTACGTTTTATTATGAAAAAAGAGTAAAACAACTGATAAACAATTCTAATCAAACAAAACAAGAACAAAATCCGTTAAATCATTTTTGTTTTCGTTTGTTTTAGTTAATTCCAGAAAAATCAGTGTTATCATTGAACGATTTTTTATTTATTTGCTAGTTCGTTTTGTTCGATAACATTGAGAGGATCATAAGTTTGATCTATCATTGTGAGATGTACAGCATCTTGTAAAAGCTTGTTTTTTATATTCGTCTTCGCCATTCCCCCATTCATCATCACCAGCCATGAGGATATGATATTGAACACACACACACACACATATGTTTAAGTTGTTGTTGTTCACAATCGAGAAAAACTTTCAATGATCCCAAGAAAGACAATCTTGACGAAAATAATTTTCTTGATCCAAAAAGAAATTCTTAAGACCAACAAATGTTTTACGGAAAGAATTTCTTACGGTTTTCTATTAGTTGATTGATTGCCTAACAACAAGCGAGCAAGCAACCTCAATAAAACAAATCAATTTGGATGATGAAACTTTTCTATTTTTTTAATTGAAAATCCTCCCCTAAAAATAAGTTTGTGTATCATTACGTGCCTTTGTGTTCTAAATTTTGAAATCGTCAACGACAGCAAAAAATAATTGTTTGATTGGAATTTTTCAATCATCAACCGAGTATCAGATTGATTTATTTTACTGGAAAATTTATTTTCTGAAATTCGACAACGTAATCCGATCCGATCCATTTATCGCTTGCATCCATCCAGAAATCAGAACAGAAAAAATGGCCATAGAAGATACCTTTGGTTATCGTTTCGTGCGAATGTCATTAGTATTATTGAATTGTTTAGTATTGATCAAATTGATAACGTTATTATTACAATTTTCACATGTATTCGAACCGACATTTGTGCTGTTTATTTTGTTGATCGGTTTGTGTTATTGATATGATTGATTGATTTTCCTAACATTAATTTTTTCATTTTTTAGGATCAAATTTCATGGCAGCAATTGTTGGCGCTATTCGCGAACATCGAATTCTTGTTCTTGTTACTGGAAGCCTAACATTGATAATGTTCCTATCATTATTATTTACAAATAAAGAAAATAAAAATCTTAATGTATCATTATTCACCCTGTTGGCCATTGCTGCACAATCATTAATATTTTCCGAAATGTTAAAAGAACGACAAATATTTGTTCAAAGACAAAATCTTGATTTATGGAGTGCAGCATCGAATTCGGTCAATTCACAACAACGGCGACATTCATCTGGAACAACCAATGGCAATGGTGGCCCATTAACAGCTGTTGTCGTATATCAACCATCGGGCGCTAATCGCAGCCATCATCAAACAGGTGGAATATTTATGGTCGATCCAATATTGGCAGCAGAATTACCAAAAGATCCACCGCCATCATATTTTGCTGCAAGTTGTCCACCACCACCTAAATATGAGGATGCTATTAAATTGAATTCAAATATTGTTCAGCAACCACCACCATCATCAATAGATCAATCGAGCGACAACAATAATAATGCTGCGATACTTCCTACAAGTTCATCGGCTACAACATCCTTATCATTATCTGCTGCCGAAAGTCCAGATGATAATAATAATGATTTAAATTCAACGAACAAAACTAATACAAATCATAATACAAATCATAATACAAATAATAATGGTAATAATAATCATATCAGCAGAACAACCGAAACAATATCAGCAGCTGTAGCTGCTGCGGCTGCCATAGCTCAACAACAAAATGATAATAATCCTGAACAACAACAACAAAAAGAAAACTGAACTTTGTATTGATCATCACCACCACCACAATTGACCCCTTTCAATATTATTCTCATTCAGAATTTGCTTAATGGTTTTGTTTTTGTTTTTGTTTTGCTTCACTTTGCTGAAATGAGAGCTCTTTGCATTTGTTTTGTTGGTTAATTTGTCCACCTGAGAATTATCAATCACATCTATCTTTATATTTCACTTTAATCAATGTAGTATTTCAAATTGATTTTGTAAATATTTTTTTATTTCTTTTGGTTTTGTTTTTCAACCTGTATTTGCTTTCTATCCGATTAATCTCTCTCTGTGTTTCCCTTATCACCATTCAATGGTTTTTTGTTGGACTTTTTCTATCATTTTGTTTCTCTTCAATTCATTTCACTTAATCGATCTGGGATTTTGGTGTTACGGGGTGTCATTTTCAAATTTTCTCAAAAAAGACTGCAGAATCATAGTGGTGATAAACACACAAACACATCTACATACGCCTTATTCAATGTTGAAATGACTTTGTTTAAAACTTATCATTATTATCATGATGGTGATTTAGTCAAATTAAAATTTTTATATAATTTAAGCAAAAGCGTTTTTTCGCCATTGTCCAATGAAACTAATTTCTTTGCTTTTGGATTGGTGAAACAAAAATAGACCATATAGTGGTTGTTTTATTTGAATCAATAATTAAACATTGTTTTTTGTTTAAAGAAAAAACAATAGCCAAATTGGATTAATCACGCAATCAACAATAAATAAGCAAAATCAAAAAGAGAGATTTTCATCTAAATATTGGTTGATTGATGAGAATCGAGGTCGAGGTTCAGTCAAATGAAAAAATGCAACATTTCTTTGGTTTAATCCAAATGAATTTGTTTGAAAAAATTCTGCTGATGATAGTGATTGAGGCACACCCAAAACATTATCGTCATCATCGTTGATTGGTTATTGTCATTTCATTCGAATTCGAACGTCTGACCAATCATCATCACCATCGTCTTGGAAATTTCGATTCGAAAAAAATGAAAACACCAATGATGATAATCGATCAATTTGAGCATCATCAATCGATATATCGATTATTATCATCGATTAAACATACCTTATTAGTTGTTAATCTAATATTCATTATGATTTTGGTCATTTCAATCATAACATCCTTTGTTCTACATGGTTTGAATCCAATCATGTTTCTCCTGACCATTTTCGATTTAAATTCAGTGATTCAATTGAGCAAAACTTTGAATAATCCCACCACATCATCATCGACAAATTACCCGATAAGCCGAGATAATACAACAACAACGGTAATTCATACCGAAATAGCCTATTTGATTATCAATCGACCATCCGGTGAATTTATATTCACTGCATTGATATTATACATCACAGCTATATTCAATCAATTGATTGCAATCATATCAATCATTCGTCAACATTTGTGTTTGTTAGTTTTTACATTGATAACAAATCTGCTAATATTTGCCATATCGATAATATTTGTCAAAACAAATTTATTTCTATTGCTGATGTTGATCATTTTGTTAACAATTTTCTATACAACAATGTTGAAACAGATTAAAAATCGATACGGTTCGATCGATAATCATCACCATCATCATCAGAATCATTATTCAGCAATCAACCACAATTCACATCACAATCAACAAAGATTATCACCACCATCAATGAATCAACAACAGAATTATTCCGGTGGAATCAATCCAGCCGATTCTAGTCCAATTTATCAAAGTCAAAATCATCATACACAAACACCAATCATAACAACAACAACCCCAACAAACAATAATGATCCAAAAATATTAGCACCAATCATTTATTGTCCGCATAATCATTATTCAGAGAGTGTTTGCTAGAACGGGAGAAAATTCTCATTGATTTTATTTCGAATCTTTTTGTTTAGTTATTTTATTCAATAAAAATTGTTACAAAATTTCTTTCGTTCGTTGTTCAGAAAGAAAAATGAACATTTTTTTGTTGTTGCAATGTTGATTCAATTAATGATCACCGAATCCATCACCAGCACTTTGTACACCATCAGCATTGATTTCTTTAGTTTTATTTTTCCTTTTGCTACTTTGGCTTGATGGTCTGGCTGTTGTCGACGACGACGACGATGATGATTTCTTTTTCTTCTTTTTATCTTTTGCATCACGTTTTGGTCGACTTGTTTCATCATCAACTTCTTCCTTTTCGCTTTTGACCGATTCTTTTTCCACTTCTTTTTCAGCGTCTTCTGTGGAAGGTTTTCTTAAATTCTTCAAAATTGATTTACGATTCGAATGTCTTCGTTGGATTCGATCACGAATCGAACTGATACGTGTTTTGGCAACTTCATCCATTTGTTTCAATGCGGCATTTAATTTTTTCAATTTTCGTCCGGATTCTTTTTTCTCTTCGGGTGTTTCAGCTTCAGCTGCTTTTTCTTTTTCAACTTCAATTTCATCTTCTAAATCTTCACGTCGTCTACGGGCTTCTGTTTGCAGATAGCGTAATGCTTTACGAAATTCCGAAGCTCGTTCATCATGTCCGGATCTGGTTTTAGCCAAAGTATCTTGGAAATTATCATAAATATTTGTTGATTGCTCCAACAAAGCTTCGGATGCACCAAGCATTCGCATTTGAACATCACGGAAAACGCTTTTCAATCCCACATCTTCGACGAATGCACCAAACACGTCCATCACTTTGAATTAAAAGGGATTAAAGTTCGAATTTTTTTCAAAAACGACAACTTACCACCACTACCAACATTATGTTCTTCATCATTATCGGCTGCATCACGACTACGTCGATTTAATAGCATATCACGTAAAATTGAACAATCGGATGCGGCGACCATTACCGCAATAATCATTGCGATAAGGATCGCAGCGGAATTTGTAAATTTCATTTTTTGAAATATGGTTTGTCAATCAATGAGAAAAAAACTTTGTCAAATAAATTCACTTTTAAAATCGTTGGTGATGGATGAGGATTATAAAATGGAGAAAAATGATCGATCATTTGCAATCGACATAATAATTTATTTGAAAAAAAACTTTCAAACAATCGACAAGTTTCTTTTGCTTCAATAGGAAAACCGGATTTTTTTATTGTCCATCCTTTTTTCTAATGAAATCTATACACTATGTTTTCACTTTCGATTTTTGTTATAAGGATGTGTGTGCTATTTTTGTTTTCATTATCAAATTTATCGATTAGTTTTGTACGTCGTGTGTTGGTAATGGTCGTGTGATCGTTTTATTCCCTTTTTTCTTTAATTTCTTCCATCATTCATTCAAAGTCGTCAAGTAGGCTGTGTCGTTGAAAATTTGTTTTTAATGATGATCATCCATTTCTAATCATCATGATTATGATTCGAGAAAGAGTTAAGTTTTTTTCTTTGGAAAAGCGAAACATGATCGGTTGATTGATAATTAATTCAAGGTATCCATGAATTTTTCATGTATCGTTTCAATCTTTATAATATCTGATCAATTTCAAAATGAAAGAGATTTGGTTGATTGAATTTTCAAAATTTTTTTAAAGAAAATTTTTTCAATATTTGATCATGGTCATTGAGAGATTGATGAGAAATAATAATCAATGTCAATGATGATCATCATCATTGTTGATCGATTGCAACCAAAATGACAAGTCCAGGTACAAATAGCACTCGAAATATTCGAAACACACAATTGCCATCAATCAATGTAATCATTTCATTTCATTTTTTGACAGAAATTGAATGAAATGATAAAAAGGAAATTACTCTACCCCCTTCTCTTCATCATTTGTCAAAATTGAATGTACATTGTTTTTTGTTCATCAAGTATTTGACCAATTTTTCCAATGTGGATTTTCCCGGCAATTGAATAATTGCGAATTCTTCCACAAATCAATGTTATAGAAGAGCAAACATTATTCTCACAAAATTAATTTATGAAAATGACAATAGATCTTTATTTATTCTTGTTCTATTTTTAGTTATCATCATCAAACACATTCCTGTTAGCTTTGAATTTGTTGCCAGTTTCTGGCAACGTTTCGAGCCGAGCAACAACAACGAAAAAAAAATGAGGATATTTCGGGTTGAATTATATTTTATTTTTGTTTTTATTCATTCATTCGGAGAATAGAACAAAATGAATGGATAAATGGATTTCATCGTCAAACAAAATGAGCGAAAAAAGTGTTGTTTCCGACTTGGCCATCAATGATGATGATCAGTATGAAATCTTTTCCATCGAAACACTAGATGGCATTGATGAACCGGCATTTTTTTCCTATTCCTTTTCATTGCATCGTCATCAGCAACAGCAGCCGCAACAACAACAACAACGGAAAAAACAGAATTTTCATTTGAAAAATTCCAAAATAAAACCGATCAAAACAATTTGTGATTGCCAAACTAACCAATTAGACGACGATAATAATTTATCTGTGATCAAAAATTCAACATTTTCATTACAAACAACCATTGAGACCGAACAACAAAATCAACAAATTAATGAACAAAATGAATTTGAATTTGAATCATCATCATCGTCGACGGTTATGACCAGTAACAATGATGACGATGTTGATGATCAATCAGATGATGATAATGATGAAATATCGATGGACAGTAATAATAACAATGATGACAATTCCAATCTAAACCAGCAACAACAAGAATTGAACGAAAACATTGCACTTGAGGAGAATAAAATTGATTTACAAGTAAACATTCATATTCGAAAGAAATCATCACCAAATAATAATAATAATCTATTATCCACAACGAATGGAATGACAATGGTAGCTACAAATCTACCATCTTCGCAGCGATTATCCATTCGTTTATTGATTAAAAATTTATTGAGCAAAAAAATTCTATTTCCATTGATTTTGTTGTTATCAATTGCAGCATTAGTTTTATTACACAATGGGTATGTTTTCTTGTTTTTTGTTGAACAATATTTGTTTGCTAAAATGTTCGTTCAATTGAAATTGTCTAGATCACTTAATACGCGTAAAACACCGATACCGAAGAAAATTTTTTCATCAAATAATCCATTCTTGGTGGAATTTGAATTTGGTCAGCTAAAAGAATTATCTGGTCGTATTTTGCAAACAGAAATCGCATTCATTATGTTTTATGCACCATGGGATTCAGATTCGATTCGTGCATCCAGTGAAATTGAAATTGTTGCTAATCATTATGGCGGTCGACAGATATTTTTTGCCGCTATTAATTGTTGGTGGCCTGATGGTGAATGTCGCCGATATCAAACAATTCGCCGTTATCCACATTTTGTTGCTCATATTCGTAATGAAGGGGAAATTGAATACAAAGGTCCAGTGTTGGCAAGTTATATAATACCATTTTTGGATAACATAATGAATCCATTGATACCTGTGCAAAATGAAGGGCAACTATTGGATCTTCGTTCGAAACACGATGCTGTTGTATTAGGTTATTTTGATTTCAATCAATCACCATCATCATCCAATGGACAACAAATTCCTCAAGGCTATCGTGCCTATCTATCAACATCGATTAAAGCATTATCGACGGATCCATGGCGTTCACAGGTTGTTTTTACTGTTGTGACCAATAGTCGTACAGCTATGAAACTGAAAATTGATCCAAAACTTGCGCAACAATCATCATTATTAATCATTTATGTTGGTAATCGTAGTGAACATTTTACTGCCAAATTTTCTAAACCATTTACATTGTTAAGTTGGATACGGAGTCGTTCAGAATTGGCAAGAAATATTCGTTGGATGAATCCATCCGGTGTTAAAAGTACATTACTGTCGGATTATATTGGTAAAACACCGACATTTATATTGTTTACACCGAGAAGTTTCTTGCTAGGCATTTCGCCTTATTATGATTTGCTTAGAGAAATTGTTCTTGATTATAATAATTGTGATAATTCACCAATGATACGTTCATTGATTCATCGAAATATTCTCACAAGACGTTTATTGGAAGAACGTTTATCCGAATTGGAAGAACGTTGTCATGAATTGTTGGATTCTAAAACCGATCAGGATCGTGATGCAGCGACAGCTAATGAATCTTTGAAAAAAATGAAAAACAAATTTCAAGATAATGTTGATACTTGTTGCCATAGTCAAATGATTCGTTGGCGATCATTTGGTGGTGTTCGACATGGAATGACGAAAAAATGCCTGTGCACATCGTGTGTTCACGTCTACCTACCCAAATGTCCGGCACGTTGTCAGAATTTTGATTGTTTCTCCATTGCATCCCGATATTTGGATGAATTTGATCCAAATTATGTAAATAATTCCGCTCAACATTGCAATCAAATTCAAGATGTTTATCAACCAAAATATACACCATACTATAAAATCGAAACAGTTTGCAGTGGAAATCTTCAAGAATCATCAAATCGATATGATTCAGATAATGATAATCCAGAATGGTCAACAATCGGCAAACAACAACAACAATGGCAGACGGATGAAAAAATTAATCATATGATTAAGGAGTTCGAAATTGAACATTGCCGTAAATTAAAATTGGGCATGAATTATACGGATTTGAATTTTCCAACCGAAACATTTGAAAAATCACAATCATCAACGATAAATCAACGACAAAAGAATTTTCTGGCAAATTTTACCGGACTTGCATGTCAAACCAATCGAACATTGAAATTTATGGCATTCGATTCGTTGATTTATGCAGGATTTGCCGAATCACTTGGAGTGGATGTATTCAATGTGCCACATTCAACTGTAGCCATGATTATCGAACCGGAATCAGAATCTGTTTATCTTTTGGATCATGAAATTTTATTCGATGATATTGAATTACATAATGTTGATTCCAAATCAAAAGCTGAAACTATAACAGTACCAAGAAATTCATATTCAAAAATGGCATTCATTCAATTCATCAGAAATTTTACCGATGGAAAATTATCACGTTTTTATCGCAATCATCGTCCACGTTCATCAGGATTTTGCAATGATTTGCAACAACAAATGATTATCGAACAGAATGGATCAAAAATTGTTTGCGTACCGGAATTGAATTCAATGACATTTCTCAGTCTGATTACCGGCAAATCACCGGGTTTAGAGCGAAAAAATGATCGAAAATTTCTGGACAAGGATATTGTAGTTATGTTTTATGCACCTTGGTGTGGATTTTGTAGTTCGATTGCTCATGTCTATCTGGATGTAGCAAGGATTTTTGATTTTTCTGATGATATTATTTTTTCAAGGTAAAGTCTGTTGTGATTAATCATGCTCATTATGTAAAATTGATGTTTTCAAAACCCAGAATTAATGGCGATTCGAATGATCTTCCCTGGGAATATACAGTCGATCGTTATCCAACCATAATATTTTTCCCTGCTCGAAAGTAAGTTTTCGTCATTGTTTAAATTTTTTAAAAATGTCTTATATATTCCGAAAATAGACGTTCAAATTCGGTAACATATCCACCATCGAAACCTGTTGATCGTTCTGGTTTGTTTGAATTCATTGTGAATAATGCACAATTATCGGTTAGGCTGCGTATGTCGGTTGCATTATGTCAACGATCATGTTTGAAACGAAGCTATCAAACAAATTATTGGCAACGACAAAAATCATCCAGATGGATATCCTCAACATTAAATTCATTAAGTTTTATTCAAGACGAAATTCGAAAACTTGATGGAAAAATTCGTCAAACAGCAAAAGATTCTGCAAAACTAAAACGTTTACAAGTGAAGCAAAGCGAATTGAAACAATTTCAACACTTGATTTGTCGACGTTTGCGACAACAATATCGTATCAAATGGAAACAAATTCTACTCAGTCAATTTATCCTAATCAAAATCGATCATATTCACCGTTATCATTTTGATTTTGAATATTTAAATAGGCAACTACAATCATTGATGACAACACCCAAACATCAATCATCAAACAAAATAATCAAACATCGTCGTTCGAATGTAACAAAATCAACCGGTCTTCCAAAATTGACAATCAAACGTCGACGTAAAGATGAATTATAGCCGCAAAACCTTTATATTCTTTGAGTGCCTTTTTCCTATTTCCGATGATGATTTGTTTGTTATGTGCAACATTTTTCTTTTTTCGTTTTCCTTCTCGGTGATCTGTTGTTCTCTTTTGTTTCTGGTCATATTTTGATTTTTTTCTCTTATCTCATCACATGAATAAATTTTATTCGCAAATTCTTGTTTGATATATTTTTTGTAGAAAACAGGATTTTACAGTTGTATGCGTGTAATTTTTCAATAATAAAATCATTTTATCTTTGTTAAAAGTTATCATAATTAAAGTTTTTTTTGTTGTTGAAGATGAGGATGGATGATAATGAGTTAATTGTCTATTAAATTGATTATAGATTTTTTTCTCATCATCAATATCATCTCAAGATTTGTTATCGGATTTTTAGTTGGCTTTTTGCATGTGATCAATAATCAAACGTCGTAAATATTTTATAGTCGAACAAACAAGCAAAAATGTCGATTGAACATAAAAAATTCATCGTCAGATTGATTATTCCAACAATATTTGTTATTATTGTTCATCTTTCATCGATTATCGATGGTAATCTGTGTTTTTCGATTAATTAATCAATTAATCAATTAAATAATTTTAATAAATAGGAACAATAATTGATAATTGTAAATTGGATAACGATAAAAATTTAACCGAACAACGATATACTCGATTGCAATCAATTGAATTGAAATATTTACAAGCCAAGTCGGAAGCACAAAAATTGATTGATGATAATCGTGAAAAAGGTCTACAAGATGATAATCTAATCAATCGCTATGATGATCTTCTGAGAAATTATGAACAATATGATTATATGATGAAAAATGATCCAGAAATGTGTGATACATTCATCGATGAATTGGAAAATATTGTCCAATATTTTATCGATAAAGTTTTGAAACCGCGTCGTCAAAGTCGATGGAATTCGAAATGGGAAAAGTTTTTAGGAAATTGACTTTTTCGTTTGGAAAAAAGTTCCGTAGAAAAAATCTCTACATGTGTTAAATGATCATTTTATTCAAATAAAAAAAGATATTTTTCAAAAACAAAATTATGCAATTTATCAGTTCTAGAATTTTGTCTTTGAATTGCTTTATTCGTGGTTTTCTACCACGATCATCATCAAATCATCATGTATTTCGGATAATGTCGACTTCTACTGTTGTTACGACTGGTAACATTGTCGAATCAACACCATCGATCGAAACGTCCGAACCTGGTCAGATAATTTCACAATCACAGGTGATTGATCCAATACTGTTGCCAATTGATCGATCACAATTGACCCAAACAAATCTATCGGTTACACCAATACGACAAGCATGGATTGAAAATATGTCCACGCCAAATTCAGTGAAATTAGGCTTAATCGAGCTACACCCGGAAATTTTTTCCGTATATCCACGGCCTGATGTTATACAGGAAAATCATCGATGGCAAACATTATATAAACATGTTGATTGGACATGCATGAAAACCCGGTCCGAATTGAAAGGTTCGAATCGAAAACCATGGCCACAAAAAGGCACGGGCCGAGCACGTCATGGTAGTCGTCGTGCACCAATGTGGATTAATGGTGGTTGGGCAACTGGTCCACGTGGCCCAAAAACCTATTTTTATATGTTACCATTTCATAAACGTTTGAATGGTTTGATTGCAACATTAGCCTCGAAATTGGCCCAAAATGATCTTCATATTGTTGATACATTTCAAACATTTCCATTGGATGGAACTGTTGAACATTTACAAGAATTATGCGAAACACGTCAATGGGGCCCTTCGGTTTTATTTCTAGATCAAATCTCATTGGATCAATATCCAATGTCAACAAATGCCCAGCACTTTGAACAAGCATGTCAATCAATTGGTCATATAAATCTGATACCCGTATATGGTTTAAATGTATTTTCAATGTTAAAACATGAAACATTAGTTATGACAATCGATGCTTTACGTACATTGGAACAAAGATTATTATTCAATCTAAATCGTATTGATTTGCGTAATGTTATGCAAAAACAACGGCCAAATGCAATACGCAATATGTAATTTGTAAAATAGTGTATTTTCCAGCAGTTTTGTTGCTTATTTACAAAAATTGAAATAAAACAATTTTCCTTGTCTAAATATCATCCAATTTTCGTTTACCAAAAATCGAATCATTTTGATTGATCGAAGTAGTGGTGTTTGGACTAGCCAAATTGGGAGATTGAATAGATATTTTGGAATTAACAAATGATGATGATGAAGTACCAATCGAACCAGCACCTGTATTAGATAATAATGATGATTGACGAATTGCCGGCGACGACGACTTATTATTGATCGATATTGATTTATTGGTATTATTATTCTGATTTTGATTTGTTGTCATTGTATTGATCGGTTTTGAAATCAAGCGAAAATTTGGTTGAACAAGACTGTAACGATCGGCTGGTAAACGCATGCCATTATGTGATTTAATCGGTGGCAATGGTTGTGTATTTTTATTGCGCGAAATTTCTAATAAAATATCTCGCGATGGTGGACCAACAAATGATCGATCAATTTGCATTTGGATAGCCAAACTGACATCATCAGTATCGATAACTTTTTTCCTAGCATATGATGAAAATAATTGTGAATCTTCCAAAACACGTGCAACATAACGATAAGCGAATTCGACCAGCTGTGGTAAAACACGTGGTTCATATTCTGTAATACTCATTTCTTTCAGAATGGCCGCAACAATTTGTGAATCTTTTGGTGTTATTTTATTCACCATCGATGTTGATGTTGGTAATGATCCAGCATTATTCATATTAGTATTATTGGTCATTATTGTTCCAGGATTTTGAATCGATTGTGATGTTGATGTTGGTTGTGTTGAATGATGATGAGAATGGTGGGTCATATTGGTTGTTGTCGTAGTGGCAGATTGTTGTTGTGATGGATTTGATAATGATGATGATAGATTTGAATTGATACTGATAGATTGATTAGTGGTGGTAGCCGCTGCTGCTGCTGCCATCGATGATGCCATTGCTATCGATGATGATGATGATAATGTTGTTGTCGATGTTAATGGTGTCAACATAGGCATGTTTGTTGTTGATGATGATGCAGCAGCTAAGGCTTCAGCTTCAGCAGCCGCTGCAGCCGATAAATTGGCTGCAATTGTACTTGGATCTAATTTCATATTTTTTGTTAATTTGTTCGAATTTTCGAATCAATTTCGATTCGATTCGAATGTTGCTGAACAATATTGTTTTTTTGTGTGTTCGATTTTTGAAATCGAGACCGGTTTTTTTGTTGATTTTTTTTTGTTGTTTTCAAGTACAGATGGTGGTCAAATGTGAAAAAAAGGTCAAGCGGTGAAAGTTCGTTTGTTTTTTTTGGTTATTGCAAACGAAGACGTTCGAACTTGATTTTTTATGCAAGCTCGTGATACTAAAGGTGACCAGGTGTGTCGTCGTGACCACTAGTTTAGTTTTTTTAGTTCAATTTTGTTTTTTTTGGGTCTCAAATCAGAATGACCCGCCTTAAGATTTAGGTAGGTAGGTAGGTTGGTTAGGTTAAGAACCTGATTTTATTGATTCACACAATGGCCATTGTTGTGTCAATACAATCAATTGGCATTTGTTGCATTTGAAATCGTTCAAATAATAATTCTGTAACCGAATTGAAAAAAATCATCTGAATTAATTAATTTTCACCAAAGATGATGATGAGATAAATGATGAAATGATTTCTTCATACTGCTGACATCTACCTAATATTAGAAACAAATATTGCCAATTTGCAATCCAAATTGCACCACAAAAAGTCAACACACACACATTAATCATTGACGAACGTCGTTTATGAACGGAAATATAATTTATGAGTCACACAGAAAAAAATCGAATCGAATCAAATCACAGCTGCTCCAACATGGTTCACAAAAAAAAAAAAAAAATTCGCAAAATGCCTGAACATAGAAAAAGGTAACAGCATAGGGCATATATATAGCATGTTTTGTCACAACTTTTATGAATAGCCGCTTTGTATATTTCTCTGTTGTCTGCCATTCCCATCAATGGTAGCAGCATAGCATAGAACTATCGAAAGGCGATTCACAAACAAAGGAACAATGAAAAAAAATTTCCTTCTGACCACCACTATTATCATCATTAACATTCACGTCGTCTTGGATCCTTTGTCTGCTCCAGAGTAAATCAGTGTTATCGTCGTCGTCGTCGTCAATGTTCATCATTCATTCCAGTGCTAGATGCATACACTATACACACAGCAATTATGATGTACGTTGATCCTATTCGAACGACGAAGACGACGACGAATATTGCTTTTGTGTATTGTGAGTTTTTTTGTGTGGATTTTGTTTGAGTAAAATAATGATGATGATGATATTTTTTCTGAGCGAGCGTGTTGGATGAGATTTTTTTTCTTTGGTTTGGTGTTTCGTTTTTGTTTCGTTTCTGTGTTCTGTGTTGTTTTGTATGGAATTTTCTTCCTTTGGTTGGGTTTTTGTCTATCCGTGTTGAGTGTTTGATGGTGGAAACGGGAGCTTTTTTTATTTCTGTATTGGATTTGGCCTATGTGCTTTTCCTATAGTGTTTCTGCTGCTGTTGTTGTTGTTGAGTGTGTGTGTATTTTCAATTTGGATTTATTGTTGGCTACTTTTTGGATCTATCTATCTTGATATCATCATCACAGTCATTGTTGTTGATCAAACAGATATTTTCTTCTTTTTGTGTTGGGTCCCTATGGGACAAATATTGATTCTTTCCATTGCAATTTATCCATTCAATTGTGTCTCAACCATCATGATGATGGTGAAATTCATTTCAATCAAATAGACAATTTTTTTACCTGACTGAAATCGGTAGATTGAAATTCAACAGCCATTCAAAGATATTCATTCGGTAAGTTATTTTCTCAAAAAAGAGTTGAATTGCGAATTGATTCGCCATACATATGATCGCCAGCTGCTAGGTCAATGTTTCTGCGTTTGATGAGTAGAATTGATTTTTTTGTTGAAAAAATTGTTTAATGAAAAGTGAGCAAATGGCCATGAGGGGATTAACTTTGTTTCATTGATGATGAGGGAACAAGCATCAATGAACAGAAAAACATTGAAAATCAATGACTGTACCCATATTTAGCCACCATCATTATCATCATCATTAATATTGTCTCTTTTTCAAAATGAAATATGCAAAAATTTTTATTCATGATCAATTTATTTGTCTGTTCACACCATTGGTGATGATTTGAGTGTGTGTTTTTCAATTATAAAATTTTAATTTTTGTTTTTTGTTTTTCTCAGATATATGATACTGATGAAGATGAACAGCATCAATTATAAGTCATAGGTCATTCATCAGGTTCAAACATTTGTCCAATACGATTGATAACCATCAATCAATCAAACAATCGTATTATCATTATCATCTAGAGCAATAACAACATCAATACATTTAGTCAACCTTTTTTTCCAAGCCAAAATTCATCATTGTCGTTTATAACCAACCAAAATGAAGCAAGCAATGTGACCATCATCATCATCAACAGCAAACTCTATATAAATTTAAATCGAAAATAATTAAAAATTTCTTTCTTTCTTTAATTCATCATCACCTTTCAAAGTCACTGAAAAAAATCTCTTGAATCTCACCAATTTTTAAAAAGAGAAATTTATTTGTCAACCACATTTCACATTTTATCATTATTTTCATTCGAATAAAATAAATGATGGAAGTACATGTGGCCAAGAAATATCGTGTGGGCCATAAAATTGGTTCGGGTTCGTTCGGTGTTATCTATATTGGTATGTTGAATTATGTTTTGACTGATTGATTTTGGCAATGTTTTAATTTGAAATGTTTGTTGTTTACCAGGAACAAATATAACGACCAAAGAAGAAGTAGCAATCAAATTGGAAGATGTTGCATCAAAGCATCCACAACTTCATATCGAAAGTAAATTCTATCGTGTTATGGCTGGTGGAAGTAAGTGTTTTGATAATTGAATAAAGTTTGTGATAGATAATACATTTGATTCTCATTATTAGTCGGAATACCACAGCTAAAATGGTTCGGTACCGAAGGCGATTACAATATTATTGTGATGGATTTATTGGGTCCAAGCCTAGAAGATTTATTTAATTTTTGTACAAGAAAATTTACATTAAAGACTGTATTATTATTAGCCGATCAATTGGTAAGCGAATTTATAGTTTAGAATAGTTTCTATGTTTGAATGTTTCTTTGTTTGAATTGTTTGATGATGATGATAATGATATCATACTAATGATTTATTTCCTTGTTTGAAATGAATAAACAAAAAACAGATTAGTCGTATTGAATTTATACACAGTCGTGATTATATACATCGAGATATTAAACCGGATAATTTTTTAATGGGCCTTGGTGATCGAGGCAATCTTGTATATATAATCGACTTTGGTCTTGCCAAACGTTATCGTGATCCAAAATCTCGCCAACATATACGATATAGAACTGGGAAAAATTTGACCGGTACGGCACGTTATGCAAGTCTTAACACTCATCTAGGAATTGGTAAGTTTGGCAATAATGATTTTATTTGATTACCGTTAACTTTTTTTGTGTGTAGAACAAAGCCGCCGTGATGATCTAGAATCTCTTGGCTATGTTCTGATGTATTTTAATCGTGGTTCGCTTCCTTGGCAAGGTTTAAAAGCCAACACTAAACGACAAAAATATGAACGTATTTCGGAAAAGAAAATATCAACAACATTAGAAGAATTATGTCGTGGTTATCCGGCCGAATTCATAGCCTATCTTACTTACTGCCGTGAATTACGTTTTGATGAAGATCCGGATTATGTTTATCTTCGTTCATTATTACGTGTATTATTTCATAGGCAAGGATTTAGTTATGATTACGTTTTCGATTGGAATATTCTTAAATACGTAAGTTATTGATTGATTGATTTTTGGATTGCTCATAACTGGTTTTGCTCATCAGGGAAACTATGCAAATAATCGACAAGCCGGACCACAACGAACACAAGCCACAAATAATCATCTAATGTCAGGCGGTAATTGTTGTAATATGACAAGCCAGGTGATTGGTAATAATTCACAAAATGCAACATTATCACCCAATGTAACACCAATGAATTCAAATTCATTACAATTAAAAGCAACGACAAGCGGTGCTTCTGGAGCCGGTGGTGCTGGCATCGGAATCACTGGTAATCATAGCGGACTAGTTGGTAGTGGTGGTGGTGGACCTAGTTCATCACATATGCATCCATCGGTACCATTAAATTTAACATTGAAAAATGTTATACAGTCATCAGCGGCAATGAATATGGCCGCATCACGTCAAACATCGATGCAAGTGCAACCTTCATCAAGTGGTATGCAATCCGGTGTTGGTGGCGGTCCAGGTGGTGGTGGTGTAGGTTCTGGAGGTGATCAATTACATTGTACAAATTCAACGGTTGCTGGATCATCTAATGGTCAACAACATTCATTATATCGTAAACCACCAAATGTCCATATAATGCCACCAACGCATACATCGATTCGTAATCTGACTATTTATCAGATGTCCAATAAAAATAATCACGTTACAACCGTAGCGGCAGCGGCCGCATTTCAATCCAACGGTGCGCTGCAAACGAAGCAATAATAATTAACATTTTTGAAATATCGCATTTTCTCATTTCATTTTTCGCTAAATAATCAAATCAATCCTCATTCTTTTATCATCATCACCATCACAAACAACCATTGATAATTGACAACTAAATATATCTCTGACAACTAATCGACAACAAGCCACAAAAATTCACGCCACACACCTTACCTACCTTGAATAATGTCATCTTATTCTGTTATGATTCTCATCCATAAAACATTCAACTATCGGTGATCGGTCGTCGTCATCATCATCATCATTAACATCTGATGGTCACACACACATCTCTGCATTTTATTTTTTACAACTTTTTTTTAAGTGTGTGTTTGTGTTTATCTCATTCTCCGCGTTGGACAATTCCAATTCATTTTGTGTGCCTATCCATCCAAATAATTCATTCTGTTCTGCAATTCAATTTTTTTTGCTATCAAAAACCAACCCGATCCTCTTTCAAACCAACTACAAACAAACCAAACAAATAGAACAAAAAAAGACCCGAAATTCCGCCACACTTATCTTTTACAATAACAAAAACCTTTTTTTGTTTTGTTTCGTTTTCCTTTCTTTATTTTGAACAATTAAAATAACCAAATATTCTTCGGATGATGATGACGATGATAATGACAATGATAAGAATTGCAAGTCGGTGGATGAGAGTGATAACTGAATGAATGATGTAATTTTATCTAGGTTTGATAGGTAGGTGTTTGTTTCGAAAGAAATTTTTTGCTTAATCCATTTTTTCTTTACATTTCCTAGGTTATTTTCGTGATTGATGGCCCAAATGTGAAAAATGAATCTTAACGATGATGTTTTCCTAACCTAACCCTCGACAATAAAAAATACATACAAATAAAAAAACAGATACCCGAATCACACTTTAGGATTTCAATTCAATTTTGTCATTATTATTATTTTTTTAGGAAATTATTTCATATGAAATGAAATGAAACCAACCATCACCATCATTTATAATTTTGTCACATTTTTTTGTAATTACCATTACTATTATTATTATTATTATCAATTTGCAATGATGATTAAAGCAAACAGAGAAACAAAAACACTCAAACAAACACAACCTCAAGTCCAGTACAAACATTGATTGAATTTTTTTGAACAAAAACATTGATATTTCTCATTCACTGACCGACCGATCGCAGAGAAAGAATCATGAGCTTCAAAAATCGAAGATTTTAAAAAATTGATGACCACAAGCATATTGTTGTTCGATTCTATTTCGACTTTCGAATGTCTTTCATCCATTGACTATTCTATAGAAGTGAAATGAAATGAAAAAAAAACTTCGATTCCGTTTCTCATCCAATTATTGATCATTATCATTCGTCCATCTTTGGTTCATTCAATCGACGACGACCATCATCATTCCTTCATCTTATCAACATCATCATCAATGTGTGTGCTTTTTTTGTTGTGATTTTGAATTTCATCATTTTTCATCACCACCATCGTTCGATTGCAGAAAAAAGGATTGATTTATCGAATGAATTGAAAAATCATCGTTTTATACCACATCATCATCATTATCATTATCATCATGTTCCCTGTATGCATAACCTATAACCCCATAATTAAACCTTTGAACCCGTCCCTGTATAATTTGCATCCTGTTTTGGTTTTTATTATTTACCCTTTTTATTATTATTATTATTATTATTATTATTTTGTCCCTATCCATCACCAATCATCATTATAATTCGTGTTTTACACCTGATATCTTCATTTTTTAAACAAAAATTCCCATACAATATCGATTCAAATCATCAGCTTGCTTGATTTCATCGCTTTTTAATGTTTTCCATTCTCAACAAAACAATGTGGGGAAAACATTAATGATGTGACATACAGATTTTAAAAAAATGATAAGACCAAATCACCACCATCATCATCATCACACGTCAATGATAATAATCTTTTTCTTTTTGTAAATATCTATCTTTCTTTCAAAACACAAACACAGAATGACAACAACAAAAAACTTGGACACATTTTTTGATTTCTTTGTGCTTTTCTCACACACTCATTCTCTCAATTTCTTTATCTTTATTTCTTTCTCTCTATACACCTTTGCATCAATTTTGAATGAATATATCAATCAATCAATCAATCAATGCAAAAATGAACTAAATAAAATAAAATATCTTAGGCTTTTTTTGAAAAATTTGAAATTTTTTTTGACTGTTTTAACATTGTCCAACCAATTAGTGTTGAAATAGTTGTCTGTTTTAAACTCAAATTTTTTTGGAATTCGAATTCGTCAAAAGTTCAATTGGAAAACAAACTTACGATAATGGAACGTTTAAGAGGTTTACAAATTGAACTAAGTCGATTTCAGAATGAAAAATGTTTGATTGATGAAGAGATTGGTTGTTTGCGACAAAAACGACAAAAATTATTGGAAAAAATTTCCGAAATTCGTCTGGAAATTGAAACTTATCAAAATCTATCAAATTCCGGTGAAATACGTGACAAATTTTCCAATGAAACATATGAATGGTCACAGAAAGCTCAATCATTATTAGAATCAGTATTTGGTTTGAAACAATTTCGTTCACATCAATTAGCTGCTATAAATGCAATATTATCCGGTTTGGATGTTTTATTGATTATGCCAACTGGTGGTGGTAAATCACTTTGTTTTCAAATCACCTCGTTGATTACTGGTGGTTTAACTATTGTCGTATCACCACTGATATCATTGATCGAAGATCAACTAAGTACATTAAAATCGTTAAAAATTTCGGCAAAAATATTGGACAAAGATAATAAAGAAGAATCCTCGAAGATTTTGAAAAGTTTAGAACAATCAACGATTCCGTTTCGAATTCTATATGTAACACCGGAAAAATTGAAACATAATTCAATGTTAATGAAACAATTGGATAAATGTTATCGTAATAATAATCTAAAACTTATTGTCATCGATGAAATACATTGTTTATCGACATGGGGTCATAATTTTCGTCGTGATTATCAATTCCTGACACAGGTGCATCGTCAATTTTCTAAAACACCAATTCTTGGCTTAACGGCTACGGCAACAACAAAAACTATTAGTGATTTGATAAATATTCTTGAAATTCATGGTTGTTGTATATTTAAAGATTCATTTTATCGTTCAAATCTCCGATATTCAATCGAATGGCAAAATAATTCTACTGATGATGATCTTGATCGAATTATTGAATTATTAATGACAAAATATTCCGGACAAAGTGGACTGATTTATTGTCTGAAAATAACCGATGTTGATTCAGTTGTCCAAAAACTTTGTCAAAAAGGAATAAAAGCATCTCCTTATTATGCAGATTTACCGATCGAAATGAAAAATCGAACCTATCAGAAATGGATTCATGATGATCTGCAAGTAATCGTTGCTACAATTGCATTCGGTATGGGTATTAATAAATCAAATGTTCGATTTGTTATTCATTATCAGATGCCAAAGTCATTGGAAAATTATTATCAAGAAACTGGTCGTGCAGGGCGTGATAATCAACATGCTGATTGTTTATTATTCATGAAATATTGCGATGTATTTAGTACATTATCTATTGTTTATGATGAATATCATGGTAGGGATAATGTATTGAAAATGGTTTCATTTTGTTTAAATCAAACCGAATGTCGAAAGAAATTATTAGCCAAACATTTTAATGATGATGAATGGTTAGATCATCAATGTAAAAATCAATGTGATAATTGTCAGAAATCAAATACCAATAATGATGATGATATTGAAGAAAAAGATCTTCATCAGTCTATGATGCAATTAGAACAAATTATTTCGAATGCATTCGATAAAGCTGAAAAAAGATTAACAGCATTCAAATTATTAGAACTGTGGATGGGAAAAGGTGAGAAAAAATTACGACCAACCAATGTAAAACCAACCAAATTCGAACGTGAAAAAGCGGAAAAAATTATATTGAATTTATTGGTCAAAAATTATCTAGATATTAATTATAGTCAATCAAGATATTGTATTATTACATATTTGGTTGTCAGTGATCATTGGAGATCATTGAAAACAACAAATGGCAATAATGTTCGATTTGATTCGAAACGTAATAGTGATGCAATCAAATCATCAAATTCGAAACGTTCGAAAACTGCCACTATTACTATAGAATAGAATTTAAAATTAAGAATTGCCTTTTTTATTGAATTAAATTTATAAATTTTTATAAATTGCTCTGTTTTTTCAAACATTTTGATAATTATCCTGGTTTTTTGGTTTTGGTTTTTTTCATTTTTTTTTGATTTGAATTTTTTTTTTAAACCAAACATGCGCAAACATAAAATTCGTTTGCCTGAACCTTTTCAGGATGTCCTTCAAAAGAAACAGCAACAACAACCAACTGCACAAGCAATATTAACTAAACAACAACTGCCACTTGGATTGGACAAATCGGATCAACAGAATCAACCACCATTATCATTGGATAATAATAATCTAGGAAAAACAATGGAATTTCAAACATCAATCAAACAGAAAAATAATGTCTGTCTTATTGTTATCGATGGTTGGGGAGTATCTGACATTCAACAAGGTAATGCTATTGCTAATGCCCAAACACCGGTGATGGATTCATTGGCCAAAAACACTGATCAATATCGAACGCTAGATGCATCAGGGCTGGCTGTTGGCTTACCAGCCGGTTTAATGGGTAATTCTGAAGTTGGACATCTAAATATTGGTGCTGGTCGTGTTATTTATCAGGATATTGTTCGTATTAATTTGGATGTTGAAAAAAAGGTATGACCTTTCCAAGATTGATTAACAATGATAATGATGATTGTTATTTGCTCATCTAGATGATTGGCCAGAATAAAAATTTCGTTGGAGCATGTGAACGTGCTAAATCACAAAATGGACGACTTTTGTTACTTGGCCTGGTTAGCGATGGTGGTGTTCATGCACATATTGATCATTTGTTTGCATTATTAGAAGCAGCTAAAACAAATGGTGTGCCAAAAACATTTGTTCACTTTTTCTCTGATGGTCGTGATACTAGTCCAACATCCGGTGTAAATTATGTTCGTTCAGTATTGGATCGAACACGTGAATTATCATATGGATCATTATCAACCATTATGGGTCGTTATTATGCAATGGATCGGGATAAACGTTGGGAACGTATTCGTATTGCTGTTGATGGTCTTATTGATGGTACAGGTGACTCGGCTACACCAGATAATGTTATCCAAATGATTGAAAATAATTATAAAAATAGTAAGTGTTTATTTTCATAATTATTGTGATCAATTGATAATTAACCAAATACACTTTGCTATAGATATAACTGATGAATTTCTCAAACCAATTATTGTTGATCGTGAAGGTCTTATCAAAGACAATGATACATTAATATTTATCAATTATCGTGCTGATCGTGTACGGCAAATAACGGAAACATTAGGTGTTAAACAACCATTTGAACAGCCAAAAGAAAATATGCCTAAAAATATAGAAATATTAACAATGACTGAATATAAAAAGGAATTTCCATTCAAACAACTTTATCCACCTGGTGTACCGAAAAATGTTTTGGCCGAAGTTGTTAGTCAGGCAACGTGGCCACAATTTCATACAGCTGAAACAGAAAAATATGCACATGTAACATTCTTTTTTAATGGTGGCCAAGAGAAAGAATTCCCCGGCGAAGATCGTGTTATGGTACCATCACCAAAAGTTGCTACTTATGATTTGCAACCTGAAATGAATTGTGCTGGTGTTGCAGCCGAAATGGTCAAAGCTATGGAAACGAAAAAATATCCATTTGTAATGTGTAATTTTGCACCACCCGATATGGTTGGTCATACTGGTAAATATGATGCAGCGGTTAAAGCTTGTCAAGCTACTGATCAAGCAATTGGTGTAGTGAAAAAAGGTTGTGAAGATAATGGCTATGTTTTATTGGTTACATCGGATCATGGTAATGCTGAAAAAATGTTCGATGATAAAGGTGGCCCACTAACATCACATACAACAAACAGGGTACCATTTTGTATGTCAAATACAACAATGAAATTCAAATCCACGGATGTTGCCAATCATAATCTAGCATTATGTGATGTTGCACCGACCGTACTTGATTTACTTGGCCTATCAATTCCAACCGATGATATGACCGGTAAATCATTGTTAGCAGTTTAGATTCGAATGAATTCATGAACGAAAATTGATTTGCTTGTATTCTATTCTCTCTCACCATAATTAGATGATCCTATAGAGTTATTATTATTAATTTTTCAAAACAAAATATTTTCAAACCAAAATTATTAAAAAATTAAAATTAAAAAAAAACAAATACGTTGTTTATGAACGGCAGAGGGCGCACGACTCGAATTTTTTGTTTTGTTTTGTATCACGATCCACATTAATTAATTAATGGAACGATCGACCAAAACAACACACATGCATTATCTGAGTTTATAAAACCGGCAATCTGTCAACATTTTGATTGAAAAATATGGATTCTTTCATCAGTGATGATGCTCAAGATTTATTGGAAAATCTTCAACCATCTTCAGATGATCATGATCATGATGATAATATTTCTTCATTAAATCATTCAACAACATCGATCAATAATAATAATAATGTATTTCGACAATCATCATATGATAATTGTGCTAATGATAATGATAATAAATCCAATAATAATAACAACCAAAATGATGATCGAATGATGACCATTACAATGTCGAATGAATCACAACAACCGCAATCACCAACAACGATGGCAGTGGCCAGTATACCGGCTCAACAATTGGCCAATGTTGATAAATCACAAATTTTGGCCGTGATTCATCTGTTGAAAAAATACCGATTCAATGCAACCGAAAAGATTCTGTTGAAAGAAACAGCCAACATAATCAATGATGATGATATTAATAATTTGGCCAATGTAGATCTGATGATGATGAAAGAGACAAATTTCTCATCGCTTGTCTATCAAACGGAAGAAAATCCAAATATTTATGAAGAAAATTATAAGCAATTACAACGTTTTGTTGATAGTTCTTTGGATTCATATCGACATGAATTATCTAAATTATTATATCCAGTATTTGTTCATATGTATTTGGAATTAGTTTGTAGTGGTCATGAAGATCAAGCTAAATCATTTATGCGTTTATTTGGTAGACAACAAGAATTTTGTTATTCGAATGATATTGAAAAGTTATCACTGATAACCAGAATTGAACATTTATCAATGTATAATGAAGTGCTGGAAAGTTTTCGTGATTCCCAACAACTATATACAATACGTTTGTCGAGAGATTCATATAATTATTTAAAACGATTTCTTCAGGATAAATCACAAACATCAAGCGGTATTGGTAAAGCAACTATTTTGGTCAACATTATCCAGGAACATTTATTTATCGATGTTTATGAAGGTTTGACTCGTAGCCGAATGAATGTTGAAGCATTATCGGGCGCCATGTTTGGTGAAGCAAATCGTGATATTAATAAAAAACGTGTTTATTATGGTTTGTTTAAAGAACCAGACATTAAAATCGATATGATGTATGATCTGGATTTGGATTTGGATTGTTCAACAAGTCAACATAATCTCAATTCCAATGATGTTTCAATGAATGATACATCAGGCGCTATTGGTGGTGGATCATCAACAACTACCACCGGTGGTGCTCATACATCCAGTTATTCGATGAAAAAGATGAAAAAAATGAAAAAAGATTCCAGTCAATCGAAAAAAGCTAGAAATGATCCTAATGCACCACCATTGACAAGGATACCGATACCAGAATTAAGGGATACTGAACAGCTAGAAAAACGTAGAGCAAAAAAAGAAGCAAGTAAAGCTTTGAAATTAGAAAATGAAAATGTTCTACCATCGATATGTTTGTATACATTATTGAATGCACAACAACTTACAAATGAAACCAGTGCTATTTGTGCACAAATATCTGATGATTCAACATTGTTGGCTATTGGATTTGCTGATTCATTCATACGGATATGGCCGTTAACACCGGGTAAACTGCGTGGTTTAAAACCGGCCACCGAATTAGAAAACCTGGATAAAGAATCTGATGATGTTATGTTACGTATAATGATGGATATGGGTAGTGATATGAAAATATTATTCGGTCATGGTGGTCCGGTTTATGGTCTAAGTTTTAGTCCTTGTCGTGATATGTTGTTATCATGTTCCGAAGATACTACCATTCGTCTTTGGAGCCTTTTAACATGGACAAATGTTGTTGTTTACAAAGGGCATTGTTTTCCAGTTTGGGATGTTAAATTCAGTCCACATGGTTATTATTTTGCATCATGTTCCAATGATCGTACTGCAAGACTTTGGGCAACCGATAATCATAATCCATTACGTTATTTTGCCGGTCATTTTGCTGATGTTGATGTAAGTTTCGGCAAGTTTTTTTGTGATAAATTTTAAATGTATTTTCCCTTTATCGAACACAGTGTGTCCAATTTCATCCAAATTCCAATTATGTTGCTACAGCATCATCCGATCGTTCGATTCGTTTATGGGATTGTTTAAATGGACAATGTGTTCGTCTGATGACCGGTCATAAAGATAATGTTCATGTTTTAACATTTGAAAATTCCGGTAGATTTCTGGCAACAGCCGGTGCCGATAAACGAATTTTGATCTGGGATTTAGCTACCGGACATTTAGTAGCTGATTTGGCCGGTATTCATACAAATTCAATCTATACATTAGCATTCAATCGGGGACCAGAATCTTTAATATTAGCTTCTGGTGGCTTGGATAACCGTGTCGTTCTTTGGAATATGAAAACATTATGGGATGATATAGATTTTCAAGAACTGACACCAACATCTATGCCACCAATTAAGTAAGTCAAAGTTTTCTTTCCAAATTGATTACTAATTATCATTTTTTACATTTAGATCCAAAAGTGAAACCTATCTACTGGCAAAATATCCAACCAAATCGACCTATATTTTATTGAATCATTTTACACGTCGTAATCTGTTGCTATCAATTGGAGCATTTCATCAACAATCCACATGCACACTGTCATCATCATCTACATCTTAATAATAATTATTAATAAAAATATTTTTTATAATTTTCTTGGAAAAAGACAATTTTCTTTGATAAAAAAATGTCACCAACACCCCCTCACATAATGATTTGGAATTTGCTAAAAATATAAATTCTCGGTAAGATATAGAGGGAATGGCGCGCATTCATATAGACAGGGCAATTGGAGCGGAGGGAAGAGGGGGGAATTCTGAATTCTAAATGAATTTCTCTGATTACGTCGCATCCGTCGATTCGCATGTCATTTCCATGTTTGAGGGTGATAAATGTATCTATCTGTCCATTCTTATTCCTATGAATGAATCGGTTTGAACCCAGCCCATTGATGATGATTGATACGATCAACCTCCGTCGATTGTTCTGTGGGTCTGAAAACGAAACAAAAATTGAAAACTTGATTTTGCTTGCTTATGTTCGAATATGCGCCATATTGATGATAATGATGATTGTTATTTGGGCAAATCATACGACTGGCTAATATTGATGTTGATCCATCCATTCATCCATCCATAAATGATTTGATCATTTCAATCAAACACCAAAACAATATGTGTTTCTTATTTGATTCAAATTACATAGAGTCGGCGCTTTTGTGCTGATAATGTGGTTTTGGACCAGACTCGATGATGTACGGTGGTGATGGTGGAATACAATCCATAATTATTATCATCGGTGTGATCGATGCGCGTGTCCGCAAAATGCGGATAAATAGCCCAGTCTGTCTCTGTCTCTCAGCTTTTTCAACGAATGAACCAAACAAACAAAAAATGGCTCCCCGATCTTACTCTTTGGTTATTCATTATTAGGAAGGTATAGCCCATACTCTAGATTGAAATTCCGCATAAGATCGTAAAATTCGCATCATGATTTTCACTTCTTTCCTTTAAATTTTCTTCAAACACCCTGTATATATAGAGCAAAGAATATATGGTGAAGAATGCTAGCGGTAATCTACCAAGTAATTCGACCACGATAATCGGCAGAAGTATATATGTAATACGGTGGCGGCGGGGATGATGACCATCATCATCATCACAGAGATCAATCAAGACCACCACTTCGATGCTCTCATCTTTTTTTAGTCGTTGAATATTTGAATTGTCGATTATCTTAATGGCAGCATATACCGAACCGAACCAACCGATACACTAACCGGTCGACCACCATATTGATATATTGTATCGTCTCGCGTATCGTCTATTCTTCTTCTTCTTCCTAATAACATCGGACCTGTACATTATTCGGATTCGATTCAAAATTCCTAAAGAGAGGTGGTAAAGAAAAGTGGTTCTTTGCTTGTCTAGGCATTTCATTCAATTCAAATTCAGTTCAGACAAAAGTTTCATCATTCATTCATTCAGATCGGAGATACCCATAGCCATTTTCGTATCGTTTTGAATATTTTTCCTTAAACGACAACGCTATACACGGGAATATTATTTCGGAACGGGATTTCGCTATTCGACCACATAGCAGCCATATTTGTGTGTGTTATGTGTGAGCGGATAAATATCTCCATTTTTTCTGATTGTTATTTGATTTGATTTGTTTATTTGTGCGCTTCATATTAACCTGATTTCATATTTTTTTTGGGTCATCAACTTTGGCTTATCACCTGAAGGTAAACAACATTCTTCGATGCATGAAATTATATGATGGTTGTAATGAATGAAATTTTTTTTGCCTTATTGTACGATTAAATAGCTTTAAGAAAAAATCAACTTGCAACTTTCAACGATTATCATCAGTCTTCTGCGAATCGCAAAACATTGATTTATTTTTATTTTTTTTTTCCGGAATCATTGTTTTTTTTGTGAATAAAATAATTAAGCGCATAGCGTTTATGCTATGCCCATTCAAACGTTACAATATAAAATTCGTCATCTTAAACGACAAGAAATTGAACAGCTATTGCAACTATGCAAAGCCGAGGGACGTCATATGGGTACAGTGGCCGAAATAGAATCCTGGATGCAAATCGATCCAAATGGATTTTTTGTTGCTGTCAACGAAAAAGGTATGCTTGTTCCCATTATTTTCCCAAAAATAATTATTTCAGGAAAGATTATTATTGTGATTAGAATCACATTTCACCAACATACAAAACAAATGTCGAACAGGAATTGAATACGTGATCGACAACACATTCAAGGACATTGAATCAAAAATGAATTCAATGTCAAAAAATAACTAGCGACCCTCCCCAAATTCTGTCGCACAGAATTTCCAATGCATATCATTATCACAAACGTACTGGGTTAATTGGCAGGATTTTTATTTTTATTTCTTGCAAATCAACTTGTTTCGTGACTTGGTTTTGATCCACTGCCTGTCCGCCTACCCGGTACAACAAAAAAAATCATTAATTCCGATTGTTAGGCAGTTGTTGTTGTTAGGCGATAAAAAATGAATATATAATATATAATGTTACCAATTCAAATGTGACAAGTTTTTGAAATAATAATACTCTATATTTATATTCCTATCATAGATCATCGTATAATTGGAAGCTGTTGTGGAATGTGTTTATCGAAAACTCATGGCTATGTTGGAATGTATGTTGTAAGCAAAGAATATCGTGGCCTAGGGATTGGCAAACAAATATGGTCAGCTGCAATTCAACATCTTGGAACAAGAAACCAGGGTCTAAGTGCCGTTTCTCACCTGTTCACACTGTACCGGGATAAAGCTGGCTTTTCGCATGTTGCTGATTGGACTGTTGATCTATATCGTTTAGATTATATGGAAAGAATGATATTAATTCATTGCAATAAACATCAACAAATCAAACGAAGAAAATATGATAAACGACAAAAAGCTGGCAGCAATAATAATAATCATCCAATGACAACAACAACCACAACGATCACTGTTCATGATGATAATGATGATGGTGTTGATGATGATAAACGTCGACGACAACACGAACATATCGATCTGATATCATCATTAACAACCAAAGAATGTGTATTCTGTTGTCTTGGCCATCAATACAAAAGTAAACAACGAAAATATTTACGACAAAAACGTATGCTTATCAATATGATGAATAATAATAAATCCAATTTGGAATTCAGTGATGATGAATCATATGGATTTTCATCATTGTTTTTTGGTGCCGATGATGAAATCGATAATGCTAATGTTGGCAGTGGTAATGTGGATAACATCGATCAATCCATCAAAGAGAATATAATCGATTCATCATCCACAACAACAACAGTAACAGCAACAACACCGGCTAAAATGAAGAAAGCAACAAATTCTAGTTTCACCGATTCAATTCAGCTAGAATCATTGGAATTTTTATTTAAATTTCGTTTCTGTAAATGTATTCGTTGTCATGGTGGTAAAATGCGCACAATCATATTGAACGGGCAAGATGATCAATTGATTGAAAAAGTTGTGGAATATGATCACCGGTTACATCAATATGATCGATCTCGAATTGTTCGATTAACATTGATTGAAAAAAATTGTATCAGTCGTATTGCAATGCTTGGACAAACAGTTGTTGGTTATGGTTGTGTAAAACCATCATTACAAAATATGTGGATAATGTGTCCATTGTATGCTGATAATGAATTTGTTGCAAGAATGTTGATGATTGATTTGATTAGTGATCTAATTCTAATCAGTCAATCATCGATCAATCACAATACTATAATACCGACTGTTGTATTGAAAACACCAAGCAATAATCATAATGCTTGTCGTTTACTGAAAGAATTGGGATTTGTTAAACAAGATTATTCCCTCAAACGTTGTTATACAAAACAATTGGTTCAAGTACCAACACAATTCATCTATGCTTTACATACATCTGTATTTTGTACTGAATAATTCTTTTTTCATCATTTCAAACATCTATCTCTCATCTTCATCATTATCATCATCAATTTTTATTTTTCTTTTTTTTCATAAAAAAATTCAATTTGTTTCCATTGTATGGATAACGAATTGTGATTTAAAAACAAGACCAAAAAAAATTTCTACAAAACACACTTGATTAATGAATGTTTTTTTGATTACACAAACTATCCATACACCAACCATACATCCACACATACACACCTACCACCATGGCTTTCAATTTGTAATTTTTCCTTTTTTTCTGCAGAAATTTTTCTTCTTCTCTTCTCTATTTATCATCATTATCATCATGTTTGGTCTTCTCTTCTCTACTTATTAATTATATAATCATCGCCTTTTTTATTATTATTATTCCGATTTGAATAATTTTTGTTGATTGTTTTTGATATTGGCTGATGCTGACGTTTGTTGTTGTGCTGCTGTGGCTTGAGTATGATCAATATTGAAATGATCATCATCATTGATATTAATAATATTAATATTAATCATGTTCCATAAATGATGACGAAAATGACCAATTGTAATCAATGTTAAAACAATTGTTATTGTTATACGAATTGATTCCCAAATTAAAGAGCCAATGATCATAGTGATGAATGATATCATCAACAATAAAATGTTGAATATTTTTTGTGTTCTTTTGTTTGTTTGGTTTGAGGGATATAATTTAGAAAAAAATTGGATTAGAAAAAGAATCCTATGTTAAGAATGTTAGACACTTACCGATTTGAATGATATGAGTAAAATCGTCGTTGAAGATCCAATGGATTAGAATGAAACATAGCCATTAGAATAGTCAATAATAAAAGCAAAATAAAATCTTCCAGATAGATGTTTGATAAATTTTTCATTGCCAAATTCAACATATTATTTGATTTATTATTGATAGTCATCATTATTGAAGCTTGTCCAAATATCCAATCAACGCAATATGGCAAATGCAATAATGTAATGGCTAATAATAATAAAAACAACAAAGGATATATTGCAAATATCAATGTTGTCGATGTTGTTCTACCCAAACGTAATTCAACACTTTTAGCCTGATAAAACCAATATAACATTGAAATGGTAAAGTAAAAATGTATCAAACAATAAGTCTGTGTTGAACGGGCGAAAAAATTAATATTTAAAAAATCAATTCAGAATCCATCACAATAACTTACCAAAGGCAAAAAATAAACAGCCGTATTAATGAATACCAATACAGCACCAATATCGATTAATGATGCTAATCGTTCCAATCCGATCCAACGAATAGGAAAAATGGAAAAATTTTGAAAACAACGTATACGAAAAAATATTAAACCATTGGAAAAATTATTCGCCAAATGTGTGACCAAAATACTAGCCAGATAAATTATTGAATAGGCAAATAGAAATAGAATTATGCAAATTATTGTACGGTTTCCTAACGAAATATTGGCCAAATTGATTAGATCATGTGATGGATACATTCTGTATTGAAAAACAAAAAAAAAAGATATTCAATCGAAACTTTGGTTGGAACTGACACTTACTGTTTAATTATGAACAAGGCGAACAATGAAGCTGGTACAACCTGAACAAAACAATAAGCAAAATAATGTCGTTGAATCATCAATTCGGATGCTGTTTGAAATTGATAACATTTTCCAGCAAAATCATTTCGACTGACGAATGTTCGAAATTTTTCTAAATCCGAATTTGAAAATGTATATCTATTACAAAGATTTGAAAATTGTATGGATAATATCAAGATAATGATCGATATGATCATCGGGACGATTAATGGAAAATAATGACGAAGTAATTGAGCTATTGAACCGGTAATTGAAAATTTCATTTGAAAATCAAAACCACAATTTGGTTCAACGAATAAGTAGATTTTTGGTCGATTTTTTCCAACATTTAGCTCATCATCCAGAGAGTTTGTATGTCGTGAAAGACCAAATTGATATAGAGAATTTTTAATCGGTTGTAATGGCCATATAAATTCATTCAATTCTGGATTCGATGGATAATTTAGATACAAAAAACCATTGAATTTCGAATCATTTTGATAGCAACTAGTAGTTCGTACCATCAGCCAATATGAATGCCAAATATTGTTAAAATTTTCCAATGTTAATTCATAATATAATTGCTCTTGTGAAATGAGTTTGGAAAACATTAATTTTGAAACGAATGGATTGGATTGAAATGATGATAATGAATTCGGCATTTGAATTGTTCGTTGACGAATTGATCTAGTAAATCGATCAATAATCAATACATATCGCGATGATTGTGATGGAATAAGATTAATAATCAGATGGGTAAAACCTTTAGCTAACCATTGATCAGCATCAAATCGGCCAACATGACTATCCCATTTGGAATCAAGATTCGGTACCGATTGTGTCATCAATGTAACCGTGTAAATATTACCATTACATTCAAATGCTGGTTCGGTATTTGTCGACGGTTGACAATTACCAATCGAAATAGTATCTGGTTTAAGATTTCCTTCCAAATAGATTACTATCATTTCACCATCTTTCAAACGAATCACATAATTGATTGGTCGAACAATTTTGACAAACGATAAACGAACAAGACGATCTTTTAGTTCGATCCATTTGATTTTTGTGCTTGTCATCAATGAAATTGATAAATTTGATGATGGTAAAATAGAAGGATATTCTTTTGAATAATGTCGATGTAATAAATGATAATCAATAATTTTTTGTCGTTGATCACTATTATCAATAAATACTAATTGATCCAAATCAATTAGATCGAAAAACATTCGATTCAATTTGATCATTAATTGACGACACCAAACAATACAAAGATGATCAGCTGATACCCATACCTGGTCGAAAAAAATCAAATGAGATTAGGAAAAGGATACACTAAACTCACATCAGGTATAGCTGTTGTCAATATGGACAGATCTTTTGGATTCGTTGAAGAATCAAGTCGAATTAAATCCGGACGAACAATTAGATCCTGATAGGAACCACCAATCGTTATGAAATTCAAATCCGATAGTCTAGTGTTTCGATAACGTTGATAATCCGAATTGGTACGTTCATAAAATCGAATTGTTTCCAAACTATAACCAATAGCTGGATGAAGATTCGGTGTCGATAATGTTAAAACGATTGATATTCGTGATAAAAATGGACGAAATGCATTTCTAGTCAACAATGAACGGATAAGCATGCCACCCTTTTTAAAATCGAGAAAAAAGATTTTACAATTTAATTTTCCGGTAAAACTCATCGAAAAGACTACTTACAATCGAATGTCCAATCAAAATCAATCGAATATTCGGAACATGTTTATAAAGATCGCAAATGCGACGAATTGAATGATAAAGAAATCTGGTTTGTCTTTCCAGCTTATCACCAATAAATGCCGATAATTCTTCATTGAGATCAATGCTAAAATAATTTAAATGAGATCCTTTATGTGCGGACATTAACAGACCAACTGATGCTAATGATCGAACTTGTTTATAGCTACCGGCATTACCAGGCACAAATATGATTGGTTGACCATTAAATTCATTTAATCGTAATGTTTCAGCATATTGACTGGATTGAATTATACCAAAATGAATTATGCAATTGAAAAATTTTTCCCCAAACGATACATACCCTTCACCGTAAACATAAAGGTGATAATTTGGAAACATTTTTCTTAAATTACGTTCCATATCAATTTCCTATTAGTGATGATAATTTGCAAATAACATATCAATCAATCAATCAATTTAACTTACCACATATTCAGGATATTGATACATATAGGTCATTTCACAACGATTCGGTTCTTGTATAAATAAATCAATAAAACCGATCAATAATATTGAAAATATGGCCACCAATATTATGGTGCCACCGGACGATGAGATCAACATCATCATTGTCGTCGTTTACAATCAATGATCAAAAATGCTTATCAAAGTCCATAATTATAATGATTCCATAATGGAACCAAGTAATAAAAATGTAATAAAAATTATTAAAAAATTGTCCTTTTTCAACTCTATTTTAACCGAAAAGAAAGAAAGAATATTTTTATTTATTCGAAGCATGGTTAAGTCAAAATAGTTTTACAATTATAAAAAATATTGGCACGAAAACAAAAAATTTTGAAAAAAAATGAAAAGAAATTTTTCATTTTGGCAAATCTTTACGATAACGATTTGGAATCGGTCTACCAGCCGAATTATAATCACCACGTTTCAATTCGACCATATTGAAAAAATAACCAGGGCCAAGTACTTCTTGTGCAGCGGATTCATTTTTAAATGGACAATATGATCGGGTATGAGCATTATCACCACTTTCACCACATAAATTACAGCGAAATTTTCGTAAAATTGGACAATTTACAGTTCCATTTGGATTTTTCAATTGATGTGATGACCAAATTTCAAATGGTTCAGAATTTTCACGACAAAATGTACATGATGGACCACGATAATTTCGTTCCAATTCAGCTCTAGTATTGTCGATTACATTAGCTGGATATATTGGTTTGGATGGATGCAACCATAATGGTGGAATTTTATTATTATCATTGAACGACATGATTTTCGTTTTTTTCGTCAAAAAAAATGATGAACAGAAATTTCAAAAAAAGAAGAAAATTTCGAGAACAACCAACAACAACGAATTCGAAAAGTCAAATGACACTTGACATTCTCTCTATGTTTGTTTGTGTTTGCTAGCAGGCAATGAAAAAGCGACAGTGGTTATTTGGATAGAAGGACAATGACACAACCATGAGGCAAACTTTTGTTTTTTTTCTGCTAATTACTAACCTGAAGTGACAATTTCTGTTCAAGGCCACAACCAAAAACACGTGGTGATGATGAAATCATCAAAAATTGGAGAAAACGTTTTTCGATTTTTTTATTTATAAAATTTTTCTTACGAACACAAAATACTTAAAAAATTGGGAAACAAGAAAATAACCTAAATTAGTCAACGATAATGTGTGATGATGATGATTGTTCAGGGTATTTCGAAAAAATGATGAAGACCATTTGGATTGAAAGGGCATTTTTGTTTAGTTTTTGGTTTTTGAAGAAGTAGAATTTTCGAAGAAAGTGGCTAAGTAAGTTACTGGTTAAGTAAGTGTTCCACTAAATTAAAAAGATGTAACACCCCATATTTTACGTAATTTTTCATAACTTAACCAAAATAATAATGACCATGGTCCCATACGAATCCAACATGGTATAAAACCTTTATAAAGTGAAAAAAATCCTTCACCTTTAACCGATTTAATCAAACAATCCATGGATGAACGATATAATAAACCACGGCCAGTATTATCAGTTGGTTGATTCATAACGCGTGTTTTGATAACATCAGCCGGTGTACCAAGTAATGCTGCAACCAAACCAGAACATACACTGGACATTGCATGCAGATAGATATTATCTTTCATATTAGTATGTTTCAATATTAAATGTTTTGCCGTATCATAAGTGGTTAAATCACCAAGATTAACAAATGCAGCACGTTGACAATTCGGCATCCAACCTTTCCATAAGCCACGTATACCACCTTCATAATATATTTTCATAAATGCATGTCTGGCATTACGTACACGTGGTTCCAGTCCCTGTAATCGTCTTCGTCCTTCCATTTGTACTTGAACTTTAACTAAATCGGCTGGACTGGCCAAGAATTGTGCCGTAACACCAGCTACAGTACCACCAATCAATGCTTTCCATAATGGTATTGTACCATCAGAGTTTTTTCCCAATAAATCTTCACGAATATATTCATAAAATGTCATTCGTACACCAGAATAAACTATTTTAAAAATTAAAATCAAATTAACATTATTGTAAGGCTAGCCGCAATGGAATCGCATTGATTGTCGTTTTGCAACAACAGAGAAACCAAGGTCCAGCCTTGTCTATTATTTACAAATAAATATTCAACAAAACGATAATGCGGATAATAAGTGGGAAAAATTAAATCTTTCGAAAAATTGATGAGACAACAACAAAAACTTACCAATATGACGATAGATTGCTGGTGATAATCCTTGCCATAATCGTAGGAAACCTTCTTCTTGAACTTTATTTAGAAGAAAACAAAGAGAGAGATGGATTTATTATGGAAAAAATTAACCAAAAACTAATCATCTTACCAATACCAACAGCAGTACCAAACATTCCACGATTCGGTATCAAACGTTTTGTTTGATTTTTGGCATGTTGTTCGAATGCAATTTCCCCTTGTATCTGTAGCCGTCCTTTGATTAAATCCAATGGATAGGTTACTGTTGTTGAAAAAATATTTTCATTAATGAAATCAAATGGGAAAACATAATGGAAATACCAAACTTGTTTCTGCACAACTTGCAGCCAAAAATGAAAATGTATATTTTATGAAAAATGTATCGTTTACATTTTTGATTTTTATCGTTGGTGATACAACAGCATCTTCTTTCGGTAACAGTGGATCACGTGTTGTTGGCGTCACTGGTTTATATGTTTCACCGAGTACCATTATTATTGGTGGATATACAATTCAAAAAAAACGGAAAAGTGGAAAAAACCAAACCAAATCTAAATAATAATAATGTTATATACGGTTCATTAGTCACATTTAATTAATTAATTTACCTTTGATTAAATGAATAAATTATGATGATGATGATGCTAAAAAGGATTCAATATTATGGCTGAAAAATTGCATTTATGCTTGTCATTCATTCAAGTGATAATAGTGATTAGTGTTTTTGGATGACAATTTTGTAATTAGAGAAACAAAATTCGAATGCTAAGAAATTTTCGTCATCAAACACATATTTTTTTCTCTTGCAAAAATTAAATTTGAGATCTTATCGATGGTGGTTATGGACTAGATATTGAATTATTTCATCCTCTTCATCTGGATAGAAACAAGTTTTTGACAAGGTTACAATATCTTCTTCTCTTGGCCCTTCTATGCTGTAAAGTTTACCGGGTACAAATGTATCCTTTTTTGTTGTATCCTTTTCTTTTATGTTTTTCCTCGTTTTCATTCGAATTTTGCCTCTAGGTCCAATGTTTGATGATGATAATAACGATAATGAGGATGATTTTGATGATCAGCTGATGTGATTTACTATTATCACCATCGATGATATGATGATTGAAACAATTTAGAGGTCAATCAAAAAAGAAAGAAATCTGAGAGGGATTCTCTCTGTGATAATAAATGTAAATAACGAGCATGCAAGTTTGTTGGGCCAAAAACGAAAAAGTCCGTTCAACCTAAACAAGAATTAACAACAAATCACAACGATAGATGTCAGCGCTGTTAACATTCGAATATTCGAATTGGTTCGAGTTTGATTCGATTAAACAAAAAAACCGCGGACACGTTTTTATCAACCGAAACCAACCCGAACCAAAACGAATAATTATCTAGATAGAAAAAACCATAATGATTCGATGATCAATTTTTTTGTTGCTTTGATTAGAATCATCATTATTATCATTGAAAATAATAATAATAATTATTATTATTGTTGTGTCAACCAACCAACCGATCATCAAAAACCCAGCAATTTTATTCTTTTTGACATTTATTATTATTATATGATGATTATGATGATTAAACTACATTACATTCAAAATGAAATATTTTATTTATTTATTTTATGACCACTCATTTTATTTTATTTTATAATTTTTTTGGTTTTCTGGTTCAAAATTCATATCGTTTTTCTCTCTAATCGTGATGATTTTGTTATTTGAAATTTTCGTTTTTCGTTCGCCAAATGCACACACACAACCGACCAATGATAATGATAAACTAAAACCAAACCAAACCAAAATGGAAATGTGCGTGCAAAATTCTTTTCCATTCCCAAAAAAAATTTCCGGACATCTTTTTTTGGCTCATTCATTTTATATCTACCATTCACAAACAAAGTGTAATTATCAACAACAGCAAACAAAAATTTACGAAATGATATTATCGACCCTCTCGCCAAATATCGATATCGACGGGGAAAAAAACAAACAAAAGGAATTTTTTCGTTTTTCTAATAAGATTGGACAATTTTTTTCATTCTGCTGTTTTTCTGTTTCATTTTTGCTTCCGTTATGTGTGTGATGACCAAAAGGATTCTTCATTTCAACGAAAGAAGAATGGCCATTCAAAACAATACAACAAAAAAGTATCGATCACTCGGAAATCATTTCGTGACTGAAAAATGTCTTCAGCTGTTGTCCAGCATTTTGCTTTCGCTTTTTTTTACTGTCATTATCTTGTCTTTCATTTGTCTCGCACTATGTTCTCAGTCGGTCCATAGGGCCATCATCATCATCAAAACATCACAGCATCACATTTCGATCGAATTCGGGTCGTAGTAATCATCGGTCTATATAACATGTTAGTTGATGGATGCAAGTAAGCAAGCAATTTTCCCATTGCAAAACATATTCGATACATTTTTCCCCATAAAACAGACAAATATACATAGTGTGGGCGTCATACGCCCGATTCCTAACTGCGTCGGTGTACAACATTCGTCGTTTGAAAAATATTCTTCTTTTTCACATTCGGTTTTTGGTACGGCGCTTTGGATACTTTTTTTTGTTTTGTATGTTACGTATGGTCGTCGTTCTTTCTCTTTTGATGGCTACTATTGGCAAGATCATTCATTCAGTCATTTAGTCAAGTCAGTCGAATGATGATAATGTTTTGAATGTTCATTTCGGCGCCACCATTCATTTTTTTATTTCAAAGTTTTTAAAATTTTTTAAAGCCAAATTCAGGCGCGCAATCGATTTTTCAAATCTTGATGTTTTTTTTTTGTTTGTCATTTTTAAGTGATTAACCCTTTGTGTGTTTTGAAAATTGATTTTTTTTTTTTTTTGGTGTTTCTTAAATTTTTGCATGGACATCCAAACATCATTATTACCTCATTATCATCAATATCATCATTGTGTCGTGTGGTTGTGCTGTGTGATGATGATGATGATTGGTTATTGGCTAGTTTGATTCGTGATCAGCATACAGAAAAACCCAAGACGTAAGGTAAGACGAAAGTGAATTTTTCAAAAGTCAAGTCTGCTTCGGTGGGTGAAAATAGCTTCGTTTCTCTTCGAGGTTTCCTTTACAAATTTTCAAATTCAAAAAATGATTTTTCAAATGAAAAAAAAAATTTCATCCGAAAAAACCACCTAACATAACATATGTGAAAATCATGAATAATTTAACTTGCGAAAGAAACCTTCAAGCACAATCGGCGTAAATCATGTTTTTTTCGTCGTTGCTCACTTTCTCGATTATCCAACATTATTATTATTATTATGATTATTCAATGTTTGATGGACCATATTCCATTTCGTTTTCGTCGTTTTTTTTGTTTATTCAACCTGATCCCAAAAAAAATTGGTTGGTTGTTGTGGTTATTATCTACGGTTATCTTGGTTTTTATTTTTATTTAATGGACCTTCTTCTTTCTACTGGGAAATGAAGAGAAAAAAGATTATTATTAGGTTCTCTACATTTATCTCTGTATCTGGTGTGTGTGTGTTCTCAATGTCATAATATTTGAATTTTTCTTCATTTTTGCCGGATACATCTTTGTGTAAAAAGGGAGTGCAAATTTTTTTTTCTGACTGTAAATTAAATGATGAAAAATTTCAACACGTTTTACGACGATCATCATCATTAAAACCATCCATCGTTGTTGATTTTTTGTGTAACAAAATTGAAAATAATGTTGTTGTTTTTCAAACGACAACAGAAAAAAAGGAGTCATTTTTATTTTTCAATTTATTTTAAAGTGGTTCATTATGGAATTTTGTTTTGTAGTTTCTTCGGAAAAAAACTCAAATAAAAATTTATGATGATGCTATTTAGTTATTAAAGATTTACTATAGTATAATGGTGGTGGATTGGTTTTTCTTGAATGAAATTCTTTAAAAATTTTTTTTATTGCTTTACTCGATTCCTCGATATTCCAATTCATTCATCCATAATGTTTTTTTCCGAATGAAAATTTATTTATTTTAAACACAATCAATTCGGAAAATATGTAAGCATTTTTCGAGAGAAAAAAGATTTCTTCTTTTACAAAAACAAAATCTTTCTTTCTTCCCTTTTCTTTTCTTTCATTCTCAATCTCAATCTGTCTAAACTTTGAATTCTTTGCAGACAAACTAAGACTAAGTTTGTGTTGAGAATTTGTTCAACAAAAATTCAATGGATGAAAATCTTGATGCAATGATGATGATGATTGAATGCAATAAACATTTGAATGATGCCAATACAATACAATGCACACTATATTGGCAATTTTACAAACAACCAAAAAGAAGACGACCACCACCACCAAAAACAACAACAACGATGAAGAATTGCCACAATGATGATGAATTATGAAACGGATGATTGCATCGTCATCAACATGAACAAACGATGAAGACAAACACAAACAAGCAAATGAAAACAAACGAATCGAACATTAATTCCTATTTTCAAATCAAATAAAAAATTCATCCACCACCACTTAAACAATCATCATTATTCTTTTTTCGGTTTTTGTTTATTTGTTTTTCATCAGAATTTTTTTCTTCGCTGCTGTTTTTTGTTTTTGTTTATTGGTATAGTGGAGTGTATGTTGAGAATATTCTTCTTGTTCATAATTCTGGTGGCTTGGGTTTATTTTCGTTTTTTTGGGTTGGTCGATCGGGTTGAATTGTGTGATGATCGGGTTGATTAGAATGAATGGCATACATATTGTCAATGGAGCAATATGATTCATTTTTGGAGAATATTTTCCGATTTTTGTCTAAAATCATTTGATCGTAAGGAATTCATTCGTTTTTCGCTTGTCTGATTCATTTTGATACATTTTCTCTTTCGTTGGACTAATTATCATTATCCATTGTTCGTTGTTATCGAATTTCCATTTAGCAATTCAATTCAATGGATGATATCCGCGAATTCATTTCCGATTTCATTATCTATTCAAGAATTCTTATTGTCAACAATATAAGGATTCCATGGAGCAATGAATTGAAATGATTTTGTTGTTCATAAACAATGTAACATCATCATTGATGATTTTCGAGCCAAAAAATCGAATGTTTTTTGTTGTTCCTGTTGTTGTTGTTAAGAAAAAAGTGTTGTTCCAAAAACGAATGAAAAATGAATAATGTTTGAAGCCACCTATATTCTATTTGTTTTTGGTTTGTTTTTGGACGCCATCAATATCCAGAATGTCCTTAGCGTGAAAACAAAATCAAAAATGATAAATGAAAAGCCATTTTCAACAACAACAACAACAACAAAAAAGTGAAGTGATTTTGTTTTCTTTGTCGCCTATAATAATCATAATAATAATAGCCAATTTTTTTTCTCTCCCTTCCTTTATCAATCTTTATGTTTTGTCGTTTGTTATTTGTTGTTTATGGTCACATTTGGTATCGATATCGTCGTCGGATAATAAAACAAAATAAAACAAAAATGTTCAATGTTTTTTAACGCGGCTTGTCGGTGTGAAACATCCATAAAGAGTTTTTTCCGTTGTTGTCGTTATTCTTTTGAAAATTGTTTTGCAAAAAATGATTTTTCTCCTTTCTCATCCACTCCAACATACAAAGAATCCATATTCTAAGAGATGATGTTGGTCATTTTTCATCATCTACATTCGTTCCAAATGAACCACCACCGCCATCATATCGTTTCGTTTTTTCTTCGTTTCTGATTTGATCTTTATAAACGATAATCAATCTAGTCAAAAAAATGAAAGAATATTCTCTCCATGTTTCTAATGGATGTCTTTTTTTTCTATTTGCTTATCCAGACAAACAGACATCCAGCCATTCATCTCGAAAATAACCAAAAAAAACCATTCAAATTCAGC